GGGAGACCTTTATGTCGGGGTGGGAGCTAGAGGCAAATAGCCTGGCTGCTGATTACGCCCAGCCAGACAGCCGGGCGATTAGAAGATCACAGCGGGACGCCCTGTGCATCCGGGAGGCTTTGAAAGCTAGGTTCCTGAGTGAGCAGGGCAACCAGTGACTTTTCAGTTTGTGGACAGAAAAGCTGAACCTGCCCCCGTTTCTTTACCCAGTTCATTTTGACTATCCTCTCCAGTTACATACCCCCTTCACCCCCTTCCCCTTCCCAAAAAATAAAATCATTTCGATTTTGTTAATGAACACCGTTGTCTGTGTTGCTGTTTTCGCGGGAATATTTTAAACCGGGGACGCAGACTGTGGTGGGGGGCGGGTTCAGTGTTCTGATGCAAATGATGCTTCTAAACTCCCGGAATGACAGGCTCCGCACTGGTGGACTGGTTATTTCAATGGAGCCTGCCAGCACTCCTGGGGGGGACTGTGTGTATGTGTCGGCTATGTGACTTTCTGGCAGGGGGGGTAGGGTTACAGATCCCCTGCTGCGTGGATCTGTGATCCAGGATAAGGACCGCTGCATAAGATCTGTAACTGCCCTCCCCCGCCACAAAGTCACAGAGCAACCCCCCCCCCCCCAGAACATGAAAAACACCTCCCAGACTGACCAGGGTAACCAGTGACTGCACTGTGTATGTGTCCTGATGCTGGACCTGACACCGCCTCTGTACCCTGCTAAAGGTCACTGTCCTGTCCAATTACCAAGCCCCTTCCCCCCCTCCAGACAGACTCTCCCTCAAAAGAACCTGACTGAAACAGTAATGAACAGAAACATATTTTTTCTTAACAACCAGACAGGAAACTGGGGGGTGAAAGTCGGACGGGGGCTTGGGTGAGGCGGTCAGGAAAGGACTTTTCAAATTTTGGGGAATGACAGCCTTCTGGTGCTTGAGCAGTCTGCAGGGGTGGAGTGAGAGTTTTCACGGACTCTGCCACCCCTCCTTCTTTGGACTTTGGGAGAGGGGGTGTATGGGACTTGGTGGCGGGGGACTGCGGTTCCTGATAGACTGCAGCGGGGCTCTGTCCTCCTGCCTCCGTTCCTGCAGAACATCAACAAGGCGCCGGAGCGTGTCCGTTTGCTCCCTCAGAAGTCCAAGCAGCGTTTGAGTCGCCTGCTGGTCTTCCTGCCCGCCACCTCTCCTCACGTTCCATGTGTGTCCGGTGCATTTGTGACAAATTCTCCCTCCACTGGTTCTGCTGTGCTGCCTGGGCTCAGGAGCAGCCCATTAGTTCTGAGAACATGTCCTCTCGCGTCTTCTTCTTTCTCCGCCTAATGTGCGCTAGCCTCTGGGAGTGTGATGCCAAGCTGGGTTGGGAGACAGTTGCAGATGTGGCTGTGGGAATGAGGAAAAGGCAGTGAATTCCTCCGAAAGAAAAATGTGGTTGTGAATCAAGAACATAGTTTTTCTCTGTGAACAAGACCATGAACCACACCTATCACATGCGCACTCAGGACAAGGTCGAATTTTCGAACCTCACCTTCAGTGCCTGGGCTTTTGCACTGCCGATCTGGGAAGCGGGGCAGGACACGGTACTCTCTGTAGCAGGCAAACATGGTAAGCCGTAGACTTGTGGCTGCTTAAAACTGTAGGAGTACCACTGGCCTCCTTTCACATTGAAAGCACTGCCAGTCTGTGCTGCCAGCAATCGGCCAAGCAGGAACTCTGGCCCTGTCCCACCCCCTCGCGGATGAGCCAGGGAAAGATCTCTGTATGCTGCCCCTCTCCCGCCCCCACCGCGTGGCTGTAAACCAGCGGTCACAGTTCTGTAAAGGAACTTGTTGCAAGCAGTCCCAATACTAACAGTCCCCTACCTAATTCAAAGCAGGTCATCATGAGCGACATAACTCTCATGAGGATCCCGGACACCGAGATCCAACGGATGCTTCGAGAAAGCCTGCAGAGACCGGGGCCCTATGCCGCCATGCTATGCAAGGCAATGATACCGGAGTACCTGCTTGTCTCCTGGCGCGGGAACGTCTCCTACTTCGGAGGACCAAGTAAAGCCGCTCTCCCCAGGAACCTGATGAACAGGCTATCCCATTACCTGCAGCAGAGCTTTGTGGAGATGTCCGTGGAGGACTACTGCTCTATCCCCGGACATATAGACAGGATTCTAATATAGCTGCAGTAGCAGGCACTAAAGAGTGGAGCAGCTTGGGCAGCACAATCATGCACAACCGGACACTGTTTGATTTTTTTTTAAATAGTTGTTACTGATTACTTAAGCGCCCAGGGGGAAGAAATCATGATTCACAGATTGTTCTTAGTATTAATATTCAAGTTTTGTAAAAAATAAAGGTTAATATGTTTAAAGCACTTACCGCTTGATCCTTCGCCTGAATCTGTGTCCAGATTACATGCTGGGGAGGGTTGGTAGGGGATCTCTGTAAGGGTGATGAAGAGCTCCTGGCTGTCGGGGAAATCAGCTTGGTAAGCGCTGTCGACTGCCTCGTCCTCCTCATCTCCTTCCTCATCTTCCCCGTCCGCTAACATGTCCGAGGAACCGGCCGTGGACAATATCCCATCCTCAGAGTCCACGGTCAGTGGTGGGGTAGTGGTGGCGGCCGCAGCAAGGATGGAATGCAGTGCCTCGTAGAAACGGGATGTGTGGGGCTGGGATCCGGAGCGTCCGTTTGCCTCTTTGGTCTTCTGGTAGCCTTGTCTCAGCTCCTTGATTTTCACGCGGCACTGCGTTGCATCCCGGCTGTAGCCTCTCTCTGCCATGGCTTTGGAGATCTTCTCGTAGATCTTAGCATTCCTTCTTTTGGAGCGCAGCTCTGAAAGCACGGACTCATCGCCCCACACTGCGATGAGATCCAAGACTTCCCGATCAGTCCATGCTGAGGCCCTCTTTCTATTAGATTGCACGGCCATCTCTGCTGCAGAGCTCTGCATCGTTGCCACTGCTGCTGAGCTCACCTCGATGTCCAAACAGGAACTGAGATTCAAACTGCCCAGACAGGAAAAGGAATTCAAATTTTCCCGGGGCTTTTCCTGTGTGGCTGGTCAGAGCATCCAAGCTCGGACTGCTGTCCAGAGCGTCAACAGTGTGGTGCACTGTGGGATAGCTCCCGGAGCTATTACCGTCGATTTGCATCCACACCTAGCCTAATTCGATATGGCCATGTCGAATTTAGCGCTACTCCTCTCGTTGGGGAGGATTACAGAAATCGATTTAAAGAGAGCTTTATGTCGAACTAAATGGCTTCCTGGTGTGGACGGGTGCAGGGTTAATTCGATATAACGGCGCTAAAGTCGACATAAAAGCCTAGTGTAGACCAGGCCTAACAGATTTATTTGAGCATAAGCTTTCATGGGTAAAAAGCCTCACTTCTTCAGATGCAACAGATTTATTTGGGCATAAGCTTTCATGGGTAAAAAGCCTCACTTCTTCAGATGCAACAGTTGAGATATCTTGGGGCGGTGGACAGACCTCACCCTCAGCTCCCAGGAAGGAGAAAGCAGAGAGCCAAGCTACCTTTAATTGCTTGCAAGTACAGAGCTGTAGGACAGAGAAGATGCTACTGCTCTTTATTTCTGTTAATTTAGTTTCCTTTCCTTTGTTGCCTTGAGAACTAGGACTAGCTCCCTTGACCCTGGGGAAGAGGCTCCTCCCCACCCCTCCTGACAATATGAGCCTCCTGAAGAGAAGGGGGGATAATGTACAGAGTAGTCTATGGAAGAAGCAAGACAGACCTTAATCACTTGCTACAAGGGTCCCTGGGCCAGAACATCAGTTGCATCTGAAGAAGTGAGGCTTTTTACCCATGAAAGCTTATGCCCAAATAAATCTGTTAGTCTTTAAGGTGCCACCGGACTCCTTGTTGTTTTTGTGAATACAGGCTAACACGGCTACCCCCTGATACTTGTAGTAACTTTGTCAGATGGGGGTCATGGTCCAATGAAGTTTGAGAACCCCTGCTATAGAGGAATCTAGTCCCTCCCTCTATGCTGGATTCTGGCCCAGGGACCCTTGTAGCAAGTGATTAAGGTCTGTCTGGTCAGACCACTTGCTTCTTCCATAGACTACTCTGTACATTATCCCCCCTTCTCTTCAGGAGGCTCATATTGTCGGGAGGGGTGGGGAGGAGCCTCTTCCCCAGGGTCAAGGGAGCTAGCCCTAGTTCTCAAGGCAACAAAGGAAACTAAATTAACAGAAATAAAAAGCAGTAGCATCTTCTCTGTCCTACCTGTCCTACAGCTCTGTACTTGCAAGCAACTAAAGGTAGCTTGGCTCCCTGCTTTCTCCTTTCTGGGAGCTGAGGGTGAGGTCTGTCCACCGCCCCAGGCTGGGCCCTTCTGCACTGAGCTTCTCCCTTTTTATGGCTCCTCCTCCAAGGTTGGCATGGGGCTGGGATGCCTGAGCCAAAGCTGCTCTTTAACACCTTCTTGCCTGGTGTGGGGTTTGTACAACCCACCACTGAACCCTTCCTTTCTAAGTGTCCCTTTGCTGGAGTGCTAACCCCTGAAAGGTTAGAATAGAAATTCTGACACAACAGCCTTAAATAGACTTTGATTCTCAACTTCATTAACACTCTTTCTAATTGTCTTCATTGTAACTTCTTCATAATATTCCCAGAGCCATATAAGTGTTGAAATATTTTCCAGTAACATGTAGTTTCATCTCCCAATAACGTAATAACATCAACATCACAACTGTTAAAATTGTTATAACTGGGTGTGTTTTGTTAGAATAACAGTAACTTTTTAGAGTAAGGCCCTGATCCACCATTGTGACCCATACAAGCGGGCTTCTGTGCCCACATGTAGTGCCCATGAAGTCAATGAATTCCACATGGGCACAGCAGATTGTCCACATGGATTTTGCATGGATCAGACACATAACGGTAATTTTGAATCTGATGTATAACAGTGTGATATAAGGTAAAGCATATAAGGACATTTTTCTGCCTCATGCTGCAAGATATCTCAATATCTTTCTTTTCCAGGGTTCTTACTGACATTGTTGCCAAGTGCCATGAAGAGCAACTAGAATACTGTGTCCATTCGTATGTAAAGGTATGAAATATCCAATTGACCTTTGATCATCTCCTGTGTGTTGCACATTATTTCCATTTTCTCTTTGTGATACTTTCTTGTAGTTTTTCCAGCATTTGGAGTTGCCTTTTGACCCTTTAGATGGTGCAGTAATTAGGGCGCTAGGCCTTGGGAGATCCACATTTCATTCCCTGCTCTGCCACAGACTGTGTATTTAACCTTGGGCAAGTCACTTATCTTCTCTGAGCCTCAGTTCCCCATCTGTAAAAATGGGGATAATAGCACTGCCCTTCCTCACAGTGGTGTTTGGAGGAAGGATACATTAAAGACTGTGAGGTGCTCAGATACTATGGTAGGGGGCCATATAAGTACCCAAGTTTGATAGATTTATGTATAATTCAAGGAGGTATTTTGCAGCATTCACGTTAAGTGGTTTTATTGCTTCATATTGACCTGCCATGTGTACTGTATGCATACAAGGTGTTTCTCCAATAGCATTTAACAAATTACAAATGGACAAGTAAAGCTTAGTGATAATTTTTACTAAGGAGGCGTTCCTTTTCTTTGTGCTTGCAGATTGCTGTATGTTTCTTCTATTATATATTCTTAGCCTTCTATTGTTTTCTCAGGATATCTTTTGTTCCTCCAAGTAACTGTATATTTATACCTGGTTCTGGGATGTGAAATACTTTATTTTCTGGCATGGTTCCTTGCACATTTTTGTAACTGGGCACTGCTTGTTCCGTTTTTTCCATCCAATTCTCATTTGGGGGAAGGTGGCATATGTCTATACTCAGTTACACAGTTAGCCTAGTATTTTGATCTCAGTGAACTTGTGATGACATTGAGAAAGTCAAAACCCCAATGTCTTTAAAAATGATATCTTTGTTCCCAATATCCATCAAGTACCCCTTAAGTTAGCACAAATAATGCTACAGACCAACAAACACCTAAGCAGTAAATAGTTTATCTGAAGTAACAATCTAAGATGAAGAGCTTAGTATAGAACTGAATGTTGTAAGTAGAAAGATAGGGGAACCACCCTAAGGAACAAGGAAAAGGCAAAAGCTCTTCCTTGGATTTTGGAAAAATTGTACCCAGACATTACTAGATTAATCAAGGACTTGGCAGTGTAGTTGAATCACCTGCAGAGATATCAATCACTATGTAATGATTTAATACACATTATTTTTGTACCTACTTAATTTAATCATTCATTTAGTCATTCATCTCAGAATGAACAAAGGAGAATCTATAGTATTTAAAACTTGTCAGAAGAGAAAAATAAAAGTTATTGTTGCTTTGCCTCTACTCCTCCATGCATAGAGGTTTTCTTCTTGTCTACTCATGTTCAGTGATGGTCGAACAGATACAGAACATGTCAGATGTAAAATAAGAGAAAGGCACACCGTTCCAGTAATTATGGAAATAAGTTTGAATGACATATATAGAGACTTTTAAATTAGTGAATGACATTCTGATTTATCCTGAAACAAGGGAGGCTTTCACAAAGTCTAATAATAACTATAATCCACCGAATGAAATCTATGCAACACAAAAGACAAAAAAACTGCCCTTCAGGGCCAATGAAACCAAAATGAAAACACACACTATTAATTGAAACTCTCAGATCTTCGTGAACAGAATAATGAAAATGAGACAAGTTCTACTAGGAAAGAAACCAAAGACTCTTTCAAATCCAATGAAGCTAAATGCTGCTGAACTAACTTCCACAACATGCAAAATGCCTTCATACTTCGTCTTTATATACTTTATGTCCTTACAAGGGATATTTTTCAACATTCCATGACCCACATTCTGATCTCAGTTACACTGGTATAAATCCAAAGTTTCTCTGAGTCTAATGGAAATATTTGGATTTGTAGTTGTATAATATGGTCCTATGTAACTTTCAATTTAGTGCATTTGAATTGTCTAAAAACACAGTAGACTGAAATATTTTATTGATCACAGTTCTGACCATGTGATAGTGAAAAGCCAAAGAAGGGTGCATATACTGTATATTTCAGCAGTGCTTAAAATAAGCTTGTGAGCTGGTGCAAATGGCTGCTGTTGTATTGCACACTGCCCTGAGCACAGCTGCAGTATGTAAATGACAACTCTTCACTTTTCATTGCATGCTTCAGCTCAGTGACTGAGTCATAAACATATTGTGGTTCCTCATTATTCTAACCTAGCGCTTGGGGGAGAGGGTTCAAGTCCCTGTTGTGCCACAACCTTCCTGTATGACCCTGGGCAAGTCACATAGGGCCAGATTTTCAAAGGTATTTAGGAGCCTAAAGATGCAGATCCCAGTGGGATTTTCAAAAGCGCCTAATCATTGATTTCAATGGGTGTTAGGCATGCAAAATTCCATTAGGCACCGATATGCAACTTTAGGCACCTAAATATCTTTGAAAATCTGACCCTTAGCCCTTTCTTGCCTCAGTTTTGCATCTGTTTTAAAAAAAAAAAAAAAGAGAGGAATAGTACTTCCCTACTTCACAGAGGTGTTGTGACGATAAATGCATTAAAGATTCTGAGGTGTTCAAATACCAGTGTCTCGATTGATCATTATATAAGTAAACCAAGATGCATCAAGACCCATTGGGAAAACTCATGCCACTTAAGTAGAGCAGGTCAGGAAATTTTCAACGAAACAGTTTTATGTTGAAACTGAAACTTTTTCTGGGAACATACCAGCTTCAATGACAGCTTCAGCAAGAAAGATTTCTCAGGTCCAGGATGGAATTTCTAGTCAGATAGAGCCAGAATAGCCAATAGCCTGGTGGTTAGGGCACTCACCTAGGATGTGGAAGACGTAGGAACTTCAATCAGGGTCTATGGGCATGTCTTCACTCGCAACGTTAAAGCACTGTCGCGGCAGCGCTTTAACGTGACTGTAGTTGCGGCACCAGCGCTGGGGGAGAGCTCTCCCAGCGCTGTTAACCACCCCCACCCCCCCCCGAGGGGAGTAGCTACCAGCGCTGGTGCACTGTCTACACTGGCGCTTTACGGCACTGAAACTTGCAGCACTCAGGGGAGTGTTTTTTCACACCCCTGGGCGAGAAAGTCGCAGCGCAGTAAAGTGGCAGTGTAGACAAGGCCTCACACATGCTAGATGAGTGCCTTAACCAATAGGCTATTGGCTGTTTTAGGGCAGAGTGTGCTCACTCACTCTCTTTCTCATAGAAAAAGTTCAAAATGTCTCAGTTTTTATCCCGGTGTGGAACAGGAAATTTGTTTGAAATCTCAAAAATTTTGCAGGATGGGAAAACCACTTCCCACCCAGCTCTATAATTAGGCGTTGAGCTGTCCATTGTGGCAAGAAGAGTTAATATTTAATAGGAATGCTACTTAAAAGTATCATTTGTTTTAGCTGTTTATATTTAGTGTTGCTGGAAAAGATGTTTTCTAATAATTAAGAGAATTAAGCTGCTGTTATTTCTGAGACTCCAATGGATTCTTTCACTAAAGTATTAGTTTAAAAAAATAGGTGAGGGAAACAAATTGTAGCAAATATATGATTTATGTCCATGAGCTATCTAGTGGCAGAGGAAATCTGTTCCTTGGGCTATAGCCTGGAAGGGGATGCTATTCCCCTTCTTTCCATTCTAGTGGGTGCTCTACCCCTTTCAGGATGAAGAATTCCTACCAAGTAAGCTGTTGCAATTGGAAGATAGGAACAAAGGAAATGTGATCCTGATTAGGTGGTTTGAAAACCCTTCTTTTTTCCCCTGCAGGTTTATTGTTCTTCCTTTTCTGGTGAAGTGTCTTGGAAGGGAGTTCAAAAGAATCAGATTCTGATGTCCTAATGAAAAAAATAATGATATCATGCCAGTGATTTTTAAGCAGAAATTCCCTTTGATTCAAATCAAGTTGAAAGTTATGGGGAGTACTGCTTAAAAGTCAGATTCAATCGGAGGAGTTTTTGTACCATTGCTGTTCAGCTTTATGTCAATTAATTTTTTTCAGTCAAGATATTTTGACAGGCAAAGATCAGCACCACAGCTATTCTTAGAAGATGCATTCCTTATGCACCACTATTTGTTTCTGGGATTTCTAGCAGTTTTTACAGTACTATTATTGATCTCTCTTCAGTATGTGTTCAAGACCAAGTCATTTGAAGAAAGGACTGTTCATGAGGAGCTCGCCAAGAACGTGACTGGTCTTTTGAAATCAAATGATCAAGTAACAGTGAAACACGTTTTAAAGGTGAATAATACAGTTTTAAAAATTAGTATGTTTTCAATATTACTACAATTTCTGCTTCAGCTTCCTCCTCTCTCTTTCACTTTCCACTGTGCGCTTTGCACATCTCAAAGCCCATAATAATCCAACAGTTTTATCAGGCTTTCTTGCTGTAATTTTGTGAATTCTCAGCATAAGCCATTGCACAGTACATGGTGATTTTACATTGTATAATTCCTCCTGCTGAATTTTCTTTCTGTTATTGCTCAACCACTGTGAGAAATATAATTCTTACACAATACAGTGAGTCAGAACATTAAGAATGTTTTTTTTTTTAACTTCACAAATGGTGCCAGGAATTACAGCTCAGATACATATTTATAAACAGGATATATATTCAAATAATATGATTTTAATGCAGTTACTATTGATTTATAATTAGCCAAATGTAAAAGATAATTATTCTGATAAGCATGAAGAGCTGCCAATGTGTTGGTTTGTTTTTTTGAAATAACAAATAAGAGAGCGAGCACTCTGGCCACACCCATCAGGCCACACCCAGGCTGGGAGGGAACTCATGTAAGAGCTAGCTATGCCGGCTTTTCCCCTGCTGAGGACTTCCCCACACCAAGGGGATTCTCAATTGTCCTGATCCAGACAGTTCCTAGCTCGTGTATACCACCATACTGGCAGAAATGAACTGGAGAATGAGGAGACAGTCTGGCCCACAGTGTACTTTACATGCAAGAAATTAAATGGCTGTTAAATAACCTCACAGTCATTATTGTTATACGGGTACACTCTACACTTTTTAATAGGTCAATTTATTTTTACTAAAAGGTACTAGAGATTGAAGTCCTCTGTTCATTTGTAGAACCATCATATCATGGGACAAGCTTCCCATCACTGGCCCACCAGTCTGTGCAAATGACTACTAGGACATATTCTCTGTGCCCTTTCAGTCATTGACCTCTCTGCTGAGACAGCTATGAAGGGTTCCAGTTATGCTACTATAATTATTATGTGTCATGTATTTCTGCCATATCTACTTGCAAACAAAGCACGAATTAAGACAGAGGTGTAAATATGAATGGAAATGATCATTTGTTCACTCCTTACTTCTTATTAAAGGCACAATCACAATTGCCAAATGCCAGATCCAGCAAGGTGCTGTGTGGCTTCAACTCAAGTGACTTAAATACTGTCATAGTGAAATGTAAAGCTTTCTAATTTTTCTATGATGTAGATTCTATCAATACACACTGCTGAGAACTCCAGAGGAATTCTTAGATGTAAAATATATCACAAAATAATCTATGCAGTGTCATCATAGCCATGTTGGCCCCAGGATATTAGAGAGACAAGGCCTCTATTGGTCTAATAAAAGATATTACCTCACCCATCTTGTCTGACAAAATAATCTGTTTTTCAACACTAATATTATCATGTAACTTTCTCCATAATATTTGTACAGCATTCCTGGTTCTTCTTTGCAATTATCTTAAAATCAGTGGCACAGCACTTGGTTGATACAAACAGAACACAGGTAAGAATATACATTATTATGTAATAAACTAAATTTTAAGATTAATTTCTACCCAAATACATTTAACCATGTAAAGTAAATGTATTCTAATTCTGTTTACTCTGAAGTAATAATCTGAGTTTTTCGTAGATTCCTCGAACTGAGAGACTTCCAGAATCATTCCAGGCTGAACTAGACATACTGATAATGAACTTGTCCGACCATGTGGTTTGGAAATACAAAGATGCTCCTGAAGAAACAAAAAATGCAAACCACAGCATTGCCAGATTCCTTAAGGTGAGATGTTCAGTCATTACTGAACATGCATTTATTCAGTCATAGTCAATGCAGAGTAAAGGAGATTAAACTCCAGTCTGAGGGAGTAAGAGCTATCCAAGCGAATGATGGCTGAAGATGCAGAATCAGCACTGATTTATAGTATGATTGTTTCTATGCTCTTAGGTCTGTGGAAGTCCAGTGGCTGCATATAAATCTACTAGAAAAGCCTCACTCGTACATATTTGTCCTGATAAAAGATGTGGCAAGGCTCCTCTTTCATCATGTCAGCCTCCACGTTTCCCCCCCGGGAGTAAATAAATCCTACTCTGGAAGTTTTTAATTCTTAACTGTGGTTTATTTAGAGTATTTACAAAGTGGGCTTCAGGGTAAGCCCGAGTCATTCTCTTAAGCAAAAACCCCCAGAACACATACATTTCTTTTCCCCCACCAGAGCACTGACTTGTTACGCTGGCTTCTGCTCACCCGCCCTTCCCCAAATAGAAGAAAACTTAATAATTCCCCTACAGGAGGAAATAGCTTTCTACCTAGGAGAATCCTTTTCTCCCCGCTGCAGCTCGTTTCTTTCCCCTCCTCCCACTGTCTTACTAGAAGAGGGTTTTTTAAAGATCCCTGGCAGCCTTTAATTGGACGCAGGTGTCCCTAATTAACCTGAGGTAACCTCTTTTCATTTCATAGAGAAAAGAGCCTTGACCATTCTAGGACTGATATACCCATCTTCCACCACTCTCTTATCGAGGAGCAGTCAGCCCTGTCTGGGGTTCTCTGCTCAGTGTCCCCTTCAGGTTCCCTATTGACCTTCACATCTGTCCCTGTTTTTTTCTTTGTTGTCCCCCATATTTATTTGCGTCCCGAGCTCAGTGGCTCCTCCCTAGTGGCTCCTCCTCAGTGGCACTTCCCCCAGAACCCAGTAGGACCACTCTCTTATAGCTGTCGGTCTGTCTTCATCACAAAGGGTCCACACTGGCAAATAGTACAGCTCATAGATGTAACATTTGAGTAAAGGAGAAGTGTATTGATGAATGGAACAACTGTTACAAAATCAAGCTATTATAATTTCTTGATCTACTATAGGACTGAAGTAGTGACCATAAGATGTGACCATCATAATAACATAAGTAGCCAGCTTTTACACACCTTTTTAAATATTGCAAGTATTCTGTAAACTGCTGAAGCATGTAATTATATGTACATTTTATCTCAGGAAAAGTTGCATGTGTTCCAGTCATGAATGATCATTTTTTTCACAGTTCAACAATGATTTTTGCCATCACAATCACTCATCAGTTTTGTCTGTGGAACCTAAATAGTAGCTGTTCTGAGCAAAGCATAAAATTGTCAGCAGTGCCTATGTCCCATTTTCAAAAGTGATTTAGCTCACGTCTCATTGAAAGTCAGTCACTGATTTAAGTGGGAGTTCCGTGCCTTGTTGTTTTTGAAAATCCCACTTGACACTTGTCTGCATCTTTAGGCACGTAAATACCTTTAAAAATCTGTCCCCTCATGAGATTAACAAAAGTGTCTAAGGGTGTGTCTACACTGGAAACTTCAAAGCGCTGCTGCTGGAATGCTCCCGCGGCAGCGCTTTGAAGTGCGAGTGTGGTCGCGTGCGAGTGCTGAGAAAGAGGTCTCTTAGCGCTCCTGGTAATCCACCTCCACGAGGAGATTAGCTCCAAGCACTGGGAGTGCGGCTTCCAGCACACGGAGCCTGTCTACACTAGCGCTTCAAAGCGCTCAAACTTGCTGCGCTCAGGGGGGTGATTTTTCACACCCCTGAGCCAGCAAGTTAGAGCGCTATAAAATGTAAGTGTAGACAAGCCCTAAGTAAGTTAGGTACCCAGTTCCCATTGACTTTTAGAGGGAGTTAGATGCCTAACTCATTTAAGCACTTTTGAAAACTTTACCCATAGTCTTCTCTAATGTATGTGGTGGATAAGTAAAGCAATCTGAAGTAGTTTATCTGCCTTTGTGCTAGTTTTTCTCTGATTGCCCAAGGATGGGTTTTGCAGCATTCTTTCATTTACTTGATAGACCAATTCATGCCTCTTGTAACTCTCTTCTGGGATGGGAGTAGCAATAAGATTCCTTTTTTTCCTGTATCCCTCAATCATTTGGACATTCTCCAGTATCTGCAGTGATCTCATGATTAGCTATGGGGTGGGGAAGAATTAGCATTTAGGACACAGTGTGGCTAATTACATAACTGGAAAGCTGGGAACAGGAACAATAAAAACCTTGTGACATAGTGACACAGGGGTAGGCAACCTATGTCACGCGTGCCAAAGGCGGCACCCGAGCTGATTTTCAGTGGCACTCACACTGCCCGGGTCCTGGCCACCGGTCCGGGGAACTCTGCATTTTAATTTAATTTTAAATGAAGCTTCTTAAATATTTTAAAAACCTTATTTACTTTACATACAACAATAGTTTAGTTATATATTATAGACTTATAGAAAGAGACCTTCTAAAAACGTTCAAATGTATTACTGGCACGCGAAACCTTAAATCAGAGTGAATAAATGAAGACTCGGCATACCATTTCTGAAAGGTTGCCGATCCCTGTAGTGACATATAGAGCGTACTGTACAACATACACTGAGACTAAGCGGTGAATCTCTCTGCAGCAGATTGAAACACAGCTCTTGGAAAAAATATACAGGAAATAAATTGTTCCTGTGAAGTTATCAAGAAACCCAGCAATACAGAGGATATAGTCTCTCTTGGCACACTTTAATAAATAGTAGATCTGCAGTCCTCCGAAATGGTCTCCATTTCAGGTGCTATGTGGAAACCTTATCTGCTGTTATTCTAGCTGGCATGAGTTTTATTTACCCAATGCATTACATCACTGAGAGGTTGGCATTGCTTGCCAGTATTTCATGTCAGTATTACACCTGTGTTACTATTACAGTTCTGCCTGTTATTTTTACATGTTATATATTTGAACAAGCGATAAAGCCGTGTTATGCTGCAATCAGAATCATCTGGTCCTTGCTTTTTTCTGGTCTGCCATAACAAATTATGTAAACTAAAGAGATGGCTTGACATCTCCAGACCAGATTTTGCAGCAGCCAGATTTGAATGCCATGTACTGTACACTCTGGGGGTTTTTATTCTTGTACAGTTCAAGAGCATCTGTGTGATGGACCTGGTCCCCAGGATTACAGTTGTTAAAGTCCTTGCTGACCCTGCAAGACTGTCCCACTCTGGGGAAGAATATCAGTAACTGTTTGTAGGCTTGAGCACTATAACAAACTTTACATCTCCCAACCATTTGGCCTCATCAAGCTGCTGTTCTCATAATAACGTAGAGTAATGACGTGTATTTGCTCCCAGAGAGAGAACCTAGTTCATAGTCAGAGAGTTGTTTGTCTGGATTCAAGAATCATTGCTTTGAAGCAAATATTTAGCTCAGCTTGCATCATATGCTACCTGCCTTTGAGTGCTACAGTATTTGAAGTGCCATTTCCTCAGATAAACTAACTCCTAATTACTTGTACACTATGGTAGTAATTTTAGCCACACATCATTGGAGAGGCACAATGCAGACAGATTGTACTGGTAAATCTGGCCCTGTGCTATTGGTAGTAGATATACAATTATAAACATTCTATTTTTTTCCTTAGCGCTGTTTTACGTTTATGGATCGTGGATTTGTATTTAAGATGGTCAACAGCTATGTAAGCATGTTCAGCTCAGGGGACCACAAGGTATGAGTTATATTTTTTTAAAGGGGACTTGATAGTAGAGTATTTTCAGAATGAAACTATTTACGATCCATTCTGTAGTTACTCCATGCTCAGAAGTAGAGTTCATGAAATTATTTACCATAAAGTGTGTTACAAATGTAGGTCCTGATCCTGCAAGGAGCTTCACATAGCTCAGTGGCTCTCAAACCTTTTTTACTGGTGACCCCTTTCACATAGCAAGCCTCTAAGTGCAACCCCACTTATAAATTAAAAACACTTTTTATATATTTAACACCATTATAAATGCTGAAGGCAAAGCGGGGTTTGGGGTGGAGGTTGACAGCTCGCGACCCCCCATGTAATAACCTCACGACCCCCAGTTTGAGAACCTCTGATATAGCTGGACTCCTATGTCTGTGCAGAACTCAATTGAACTTCAGTGCGGATCTGTTGATGTACAGAGGTCAACCCCTGTGTAGTTCCTTCCAAGATCAGGACACTAGCCCTATTTTAGGTTAATAAGTCATTTGTGAACTGCATGCTCATTTTCCTCTAATGTATTTGTAAATACTCACTGAAATAGCTTGACCAATAATTTTCAAAATATGGGTGATTCAATCACAAACTGGTCTGGTCAACTCTTCACTATTTATGTGGTGTGATTAATAGCATAAGTGAGGTGGTTTTGTTTCTGCTCCATGGTTGGATCAGAGAAACATATGCAGGATAGTAACAAATAATAAACAGTGCACTCTTGGTATCCGGCAAAAGTTTGTGAAATTTTTATGATTCATGAACTTTTTCACAAATATTCAGTAGTGATCTAAATAAATAAGATGACCCTATGAATTATAAAGAACCAAACTTGGTGCCTTTGATAGTGAAATTATTCACTATTTTTTAACTACATCAAGCTGTACTCAGATCTCTCACATAATCAGAGGAACAGCTGCAGAATCAGGCCCTTAGTTATTGTGTTATACATGAAGATCATAAATCTGCAAAGAATTCTATAAAAGCTGAAAATTGTTTCCACATGTTTCAGTTCAGTTCAGCAGCAAAAACAGATGTTTAATTAAAACATCCAGTTAATTGCTAACAGAGCAGTTCATTATTGGAGATTGGTCAGTCTGTATAGCAGAAATTAGCACATCCTCAAAGATAAATGTATGTATGATATCTACAGCATAGCTTCCTTTCCAAATAGTCTGCCAGAGAACATTTGAAAGTAGAATCAATGAGGAGCCAAGACAGATGTGCCAGTGTAACAGACTTGACGCCAATGAAAAAGAATATGCATAAAATGAGTTATAAAGATTCTTATGACTTTGAGGAAATACCAAAATATCCTCAGTGTCTTGGCTTGTCTTGCTTTGTAACTAGAGAGCAAAACAAGAGCCAGTCATTCAGTTTTGAAGCAAGGTTAAGCTTTCATTGGCTTGCATACTTTGGTTTTTAACTGCTTGTTTACTTACAAAAAATTTGCTGATCCCAGTATTCTAGAAAGTTGAACTGTACATCTAGCCATTTGAAGAAATAGTATATGTGGTTGTGTTAGTACATAACATTGCATCAAGTGAATTTATCCTAGGTGTGGATGAAACTCAACGGTAGAACTGATCCATTGAAATTTTCAATATTTTGACGTTTGTTTTATCCTGAATTGGGACCAAAAGCCAAAATATTAAAAAATTTGGATTCAGAAATATTGTAATTTTTCATTTTAACGTTTATTTGTGTTCCCCTGATCTGCTGTGGTGCCTCACTAGAGTTTTAGTTCAAGTGCCTCATGCCCCCATTCTCTTTTATCAGCCCAGTTCTGTGGCTGGTTGACCATGACCATGGTGCATCATGGAGATATGATCATTCCAATGGAAGATTCCTTACCAGCTCTATTCAACAGGTTCTGAAAAGTTCAGATAAGCCACAAAAGGTTTCCAGCCTTTTTGGTCTAGACTCTTTTCTATGCTTGTGGCATCCTAGCTCTACTGCCCAGCGGAAATGAAAAGATTGCATTTGTGACATGGATCCTTCGCACCCTTTAAGAAGGGGCAAGATTTGGGCCTTTACAGATACATGCATATACTGGGATGTAGTATCAGCTTATTATTGCTCTGATGAATTGGTCCTACAGCATCCTGGGAAATAGTTTCTTATGAGTTAGAACATTGTTTTGGGAAGAGGAAACAAATCTAAATACTCCTTGTAGGACCTTGGGCAAGACAGTTTCCCATCTATAAAATGGGAATAGTTATTTCACATGGGAATTGCAAAGCTTAATTCATTAACGGTTGCAAAGTACTTGGAGCTTTTGGTTAGGAAAGTGCGATAGAAAGGCAAAATATTGTTGCTACACAGTATTCATTCTTATTAAAATGCTCTGATACATGCACCCACACAGCAACATGGGAATTAGTTTTTCTCTTTGTTATAGTTTGTATAGTTCCCTTTGTATAAACTTTGTTATACTATCAATGCTCATTAAAACACAATAACACTTTAATGAGCAGCCCTCCCATTACCAATTGAAAGGAATGACTGGAGTTGATGATATGTATTATCAAAAGCAGTATGAGCCAGATCCAAAGCCCAATGAAATCAATGAAAAGACTTACCACTGACTTCAGCTGACCTTTGGGTCAGGCCTAATACTACCAAACCATGGTACTCAGTTCATTAAAAGAGTGAGGAGGAAAGGAAACACACAAAATCATTGTAATGTTGTTGTTTTTTAGTGAGCACATAGTGCTGGGTCAGTGAATGATACAGACTATTGAAATGATTGCTACAGCCCTGAATTATGTGAAATGAAGGCGATGCATCATAGCTCCTAAGAGTTTAAGTAACAGCATATGCCATCCAAGGGAGCCAGTGCATGGTCTTAAAGTTACAGCTGCTTTAAATGTGTCATTTAGTTAAAGTCATACAGAATCAGTGTGAAATTAAATTTCAGGAATCCACAAAAAAACGCAAGCATGGTTCTGACAAATGCCTTTAATATCATTTGTGGGAGGGGGAACCAAGTTTTTAATCTTATTCTGTACTATAGCATTACATAACAAACCATTAGTTTTTAGTGGCTGATGGGAATGATTTTGGGGTAGAGAGAAATATTAATGTAATTTTTAACCTTGTTTCCTGTTGTCATTAAAGTCCATACCAATTATTTAATATTGTGGTGTTTCAGATTTTATATCAGTACAAATTTGACTTTCTTCAAGAAGTTTGTCATCATGAACACTTTATTCCTCTGTGCCTGCCCATACGATCTGCAAACATTCCAGGTAATAACTCACCTTATATATTGGCTTGTGAAATGTATTAATTGTCACATATTTCTCAGGCCAGTTAGTATGGGAAGTACTATAAACTCTCCAAGAATAACATCTAGACATTAGATATGAAAGTAGAGAATAGGATATAGATGTGATGTTAACAAGAGGTAAGATAGATCTCCCAGTTTAAACATCTGTTTATTTCTGAGACAAGGTGAGAGAGGTGATATCTTTTATTGGACCAACTGCTGTTGGTGAAAGAGACAAGCTTTCAAGATACACAGAGCTCTTCTCCAGGTCTTTCTTTATTTCTGTTCATCTCAAATATGCCTGCAAATCCGGTTCTAAAGTGGGTCATTTAGTGGAAATTTTGGTTTAGTGACTTAGAGTGCTTGCAGAGAGAGAAGTACTAAAACTGAAACTGGGTTGAGAGATGAGAACTGCAAGAAGAGACGTCTGAAACTAGGAGGAGGTTTGAGAGCAGGTGCAGCAGAAAAGAAGGAACTTAAAGCTGTGAAGGAGGATGGAAGCTGTATCCTCTTCAGCTGGGGTTAGTGAGGTTCCATGAGCAGTAACTAGGGGAGGTGGGAGACTCTTCTGCTCCTGTTCATCTGGTTAATGTACATTCAAGCCATTGTGTTTCTAGTATCTATGAGCTGATTATCCTTAGGGAGTAGATCCCCAACAACCTGTTGTTCTGAAATGTAGGTTTCACTATCAATAGGCTGTGGGTACTTACCCTCCAAAGCTAAACTCAGTGTGTATGGTGTTCTGAATGTGGCCTCCTAGTTGTGGCCAGTACTACTCCTTTTCCCCCCTTTACTGAACTCTTATAGACATATATACTGACAATGTGAGTCACCTATACCACAAGTAAAGTGCCTTTTAAGGCAGAAGAGGCCTTATGATGCACTGTCTAATCTCCACATCTTTTACGCTTCCTTAGCCATTTCTGCAAAACAGAGTAAGAGAGGAGCTTCTCCCCACCCCCTTTACAGCTGGAACAACTTCTTTAGTTTCGGTTTTGTGGTTAAAGCGCATGATTGAGCAGTTTTGGTGTTGACTTTAGTTAAACCTGGATTTCACCCCAGGCTCTATTCCCAGTCGTCCTGTTTGACCTGGGGCAAGTCACTTAGGATTTGATCCTGCTGAAGGCAGGAGCTACTCAGTACCTCCATGAGTATTTTCTTCTCTGTGTGTTAGTTTCCTCATCAGCAAAAGGATAATGTAGTACTAATCTCACAGAGCTGTGGTGAAGCTAAATGCATTTCTGTTGGTAAACTGTTGGGAGACTTTAACATAGCAGGCTTTACAGGAGAGTAAAGTATTAATTATTCATTATTATTGCATTAATATTTTACTAGGAGAAGAGTGGTATTTTAGTCACATTTGGTTGAATTGCCTCCAGTCAAAGTCACTTTTTCCAATGTATATCTTGTGGATCAAACACCATGATTTCTGGTTTCTACATTATTCTGCAAGAATTTGCTATCCAAAGCTATTGGCTGGGGTGTCTTGGCAAATGTGAAGTGTGAAAATCTCTGCCTGCGTATAGAGAGTACTCTGTTCAAAAAACTGAAATGTATCTCATAGTTACTTATTCTACTATGCCAAACTGAATTTTAAAAAGCCCTATGTTTATCATGCATCCATTATAAACGAAATAGACAATTAACCAAGGTCTTACTCTAAAGCACATTGAAGCCAATAGTAATCTTTCTGTTGAATCTGATGGGCTTTGGATTAAGCATCAAAAGAGGGAAAGAAAATCAAATATACTTTTCACACATCATCATAATGTCATTAATTTGATTTAGTAAAAATGCATGATTCCTGCCTTTTCTTTTCTATTCATGATAAATCAAGACTCTGTGACACCTTCAGAATCAACGCAGGAATATCATGCATCAGGTAAGAGCTTAATTTCTTACAGTGCTACATGTGGAGTGTTAGCAGTGAATAGATAAAACTGGGCTTGAGGAGTTTTGATTTTTATTCCCAGCTCTATCACTGAACTGTGGTGATACCTTGGGGAAGTCATTTAAATCATCTGACCAATGGGATGTTGGGATCTCTGTGTTTCAGTTTCTTCAGTTATAAAATGGGGATAATACTTAGATGCTATGCCTCAAAAGGGTGTTTGAAGGCTTATTCAATGTTTGTAAATTACTCTGAGAACCTCAGATGGCAAGAACAATATATGTAAATCATCATTCATTTATAAATTATACAAACTGCATGATCTTAAGAAATATTTGTTATTGATGTTTGTTAATTTGTTCTGAAACTCACACATGAGCCTGCCTGGAGAATTTTTGTCAAAAACTTTATTTCTGGAATGTATGTTAACATCGTTCATTTAAAAATAAAATGAGATCCTTGTCTGTTCTGATCCAGATATTCCAGAATACACCCTGACCAATGAATTTTGCCATAAACATTTCTTAATTGGGTTGCTGCTTCGGGAAGTTGGCTATGCACTGCAAGAGGACCAGGATATTAGGCACTTAGCTTTGGCTGTACTTAAAAACCTAATGGCAAAACATTCATTTGATGATCGATATGCAGATCAGGTAAGTGTGTTATTTATTCTTTCCACTGATATTTTCATGCAGTGAAATACATTTGAATACTACTCACTCCCCAGTTTACAATGATTTGTTTCTTTGGATTTTTTTCTCTCTCTTAGGATAAACAGGCACAAATAGCAAATCTGTACATGCCTCTCTATGGCATGCTTTTGGACAATCTGCCAAGGATTTACATGAAGGATATTTTTCCTTTCAATATAAATACATCCAATCAGGTAACTTAATGCAATTTTTCAGAACTTTAATATGAATCATTGTAGTTGTTGATATCCCTTACTTCCTCTAGCATTAACAAAAGGAGAGTCCACCCACAATTATAAAGGGGACTGAAGATTTTCAGACTAGAGTTCCAGAAACGCAATCAAGAAGGGAGAGGACAAATCCTGAGAACTATGGGAATGGTGAGGTGAGGGTGGGGAAGGGAGAGAGATTTGCAGGGGGGTTCATGTTGAGTTGGCCTTAGTGGCAGCTTTCCATACAACACCCACAAGTTCAGGTTCATAAAAAGCAATGCTGGTTTTGCATGGCTCTCGTGGTGAGGCTGCTCCGGCTCCTGAGAAGCAGAAGACCTGGCAGGAAGTCTGTACCACTTCAGTACAGTCATGTGTCCTGATCTTACAAACACTTGTGCACGTGCTTAACACTATGCACAGGAGTATTCCTTTGGTGCCAATGGGAACACTGACATGCATAAGTTTAAACACATGCATAAATGTGAGCAGGATCAGGGCCTTGGTTGTCCATTAGAGGTTCAAGATCTGATCTGTGGGAACCATACTAAAAAAATGTGGTATGAAGGCACTGAGAGAGAAGTCTGAGAGCTGCTTTTTATAATCTTAGTTGATCTCTATTCAGCATTCACTGACCAAATATCAGTGGCTGAGAAATGGGGTTGCAGCATCTCAGGTTAATCACAATGGCCAGATACTGATCTCAGTTGCTCTGGTAGAAATCTGGAGTTACTTTCTTGGAATTTACACATGTGTAGCTCAGATCAGAATCCAGCCCAGCACTATTCTATAAATCACCTGGTAGGAGTATTGTTTAGAACAATGCACGTATGGTCTGCATCTGCCCCTAAGGAGATTAGATGTGTTATTTATATGACCATATTCAGTCTCCAAAAAATAGGAGCAAGTGTCTGCAGAAGCTATGGCCCTCCTCAGCTTCCAGCAAACCAACCTGTTTCACTTGATAATTGCTAGTAGTATTAAAATGCCCCTTTTTCTGACATTTATGCAAGTGGTTTAAGAAGCAAACACACTCTTAGACTTGATCTGTCATATGCAAATCTGCTTATGAGCGGGTTTCATATTCCACATCGTTACTCAGTGTGTTATGATAAGCCTTGATCTCTTCTGGCTGCCTTGTCTAATCAGCTGAAAGTAGGTTTTTAAGCTCAGTGTCTAAGCGATCCGATCAGATGTACTGTAATTATAAAATTAATGAACAGGCTGAGTCTGAGATTGTAAAAAGTGATATTATGTAGTTGAGTTCTTGTTTCTGCCCACTTTGAAATGCAGGGATCTAGGGATGACTTGAGCACTGCGGGAGGACTTCAGAGTCAAACAGCAATGAAACATGCAAACTCTGTGGATACATCTTTTTCCAAAGATGTCCTGAACTCTATAGCAGGTACTAAAGAAGTGCTGATAACACACACACAGATTTTTGTGTATTTCACCCCATTGTGCTTTCTGCTGAAAAGTATCTTGCATCAAGAATATCATCATTAAACCATTTATGTGATATACAGGGAAACAAGCGATCCTGTGTTTCTCCTCCTTTCCAATATTTTTGGATACATTTTATTTTTCTTCTGAAGCTACCCTACTTTTGTTGGTTTCCTTATTGTACTGCCTCTCGTGGTGATGCCAACCTTGCCTTTAGTGTTTTATTAATTCCTAATGTATTCTTGCAATTGCCTCATGCTTTAAAAATATTTACAGAGATTCTCCTGTAATTCTAAAACCTCCATGGAATGGGGAGTTGCCACTTTCTTCACAGTGTATGCTAGGTACATCAAAAAGTCACACTCCGAAGAAGTCATTACATGCTGTATTACAGGTGTGAATTTTTAATAAGGCAAGCATTTTTATATTTTCAAAATATAATGGAGGGGAAGAAACACAACTTACTTTGTTTACTTCATCTAAGGCCCATTTCTAAGCCCACTGAAGTCAGTGGGAGTTTTTCTACTGACTTCAGTGAGCTTTGAATCAGGCCTTCATAAAAAGTAATGGATTTTTTTAATGCCATTAATAACAGCAAAACTGTATCATTTTATTTCAATTTGTTGCATGTTTTCAGTACCAAATGTAGTCACCAGTAGCTTCATGACAGAGGTTAACAGTTCAAAGCTGTCCATCCTACATACAACATATTTTTGGTTTTCCATTATTACTATTAGTTTTTGTACCCATACACATTATTTTAGCATGTTTGCCGTGACTTTTGCTTACAGCCTTTTCATCAATAGCTATCTCTGCAGCAAACCATGCTGACTCCAGAGCTTCCTTAGCAAGTCTTGAGTCTAACCCAAGTACCAATGAAAAAAACAGTGAGAGAACTGACACCTGTGAAAAGGTACATGCGTAAACACTTGAAAACAATTCTTAGAGTTAAAAAGTCTGTCCTGATACTCAATAAGCCAGTGTGTTTCCAATTCCGCAGATTGCGAGACCTTTGTCTTTGATTGGATCAACTCTTCGCTTCGACAAGTTAGATCAGGCTGAAACTAGAAGCCTTCTTATGTGTTTCCTTCACATTATGAAAACAATTTCAGAAGGTAAAAAAACAACAACCCTAAAAAGCACTTTTTTACTTGAAATATTATAAAATCCTTAGGGCCTAATGTTACGTCTATGCTACACACTGCTTTCAGCAGCATGTGGGATATGTGTGGCTACATGCTGCAGTGACAAGCAGGCTGCGTCCACACTGTGGTGCACAGCTACATGTGTCAATGAAAGGCTCTGGCAGGAGGGAGTCAACAGGGAAAGGTTCAGACCCTGCTACCTCCCTGCTGCCAGAGCCTTTCCACACTGCTGGCGACTTTCCCTGCAGCGGGGAAAGGCTCCAGCAGCAGAGAGCTGCCATAGTTCTTCCCTGTGGCAGGAGCCTTTCCCTGCTTCCTCCCCCCGCCAGAGCCTTTCCTTGCTGCTGGAGTCTTTTCCTGCATAGTGGGACACTACAAGATTTAAAATTGCAGTGTAGCGGGAAGGCACAGTTTGGATGAGTAGAGAGCCATGTAGGGTATGTATTCGAGTACAGATCCACACTTTCAGGTGTGTCTGTATTCTACTCGCCTAAGCTGCACCTCACTGTCTACACTGCTATTAAACCTGTGCTGGGGGGCTTCTCAAGCACATCCTCTGCATGCAGCCAAAAGAAGCATGCAGTGTTAACTTAGTATAAAGTCAAGAGAAAACTTTTTCACTGTCTTCAGTGGGCTTTGGATCCTCAGTTTCTAATAATTGCTAAATTCCTACGTTTTGATGTTCCTACGTTCCAGATACATTGATTTCCTACTGGCAGAGAGCTCCATTCACAGAGATAGCGGACTTCTTCGGTATTTTAGAGTAAGTTCACTCTCTGGTTTGTTTGCTGGTTTGTTAAATAATATTGTTCTCTAGCAGCTGCTGTAGTAATAGTATGTTTTACTCTCTGGGGTAAAATTCAGGCATGCTAATGATTAAAGACCATATCATCCTTATGTTGGCTATTTCCAGGGAAAAGATAGGAAACTCTTTGGGGTTTTCCTCACAGAATTTTGTATGAATTCTCCTGCTTGGGGTTGAGATTTGCTGCCACTCCTCTTCCTCATGGGAAAAGGAAAGCCTTTGCCTCCCCAAACCTCCTCCAGAGCTATTCATATTCCATGGGCTCCTAGTCCTGACCTAATTTCCTCTGGCTCCTTCTGAGCACAACTCCTGCAGGCTCCCTGCTTGGAACTGAACCCAGAACCCCCTAACCAGCTCAGCTGGGAAAGATGAATAAGATGGAACTGACTGGGTCATCATTTACTTAGCCACAAAATTTCCATAAGGTTGGTGGAGAAACTGTCCTCCTGCAGACATCCCCACAGTTTTTTCCCCCTGACCATGCAGGAATCCCAAACCCAGGGAGAAGAGATGGGCAATAATTGAGTGGAAGTGATAGTCTCCCCTTCTGTTTCCCAAGTTCCGGGAGATCTTGGATCATTTGCTAACAAAGTAGTGGATTTATCAGGGGTGTTCTTAAAAAGATCGAGATTCAGAATTTTTGAAAAATAGTATGGTGTCACTAAACAGAATCATTACAAAATGTACTTCGTGCCTTTCAGGGTTTGCCTGCAAAATTTCAGATATCTAGGAAAACGAAATATAATAAGGTAATTATTTTTTACCTATACAATGTAGATTATATTGTTATTTTAAGTACTACTGTGGGGATTAACACTTAGATAAAATCATTAATGTATATCAATTTCATTCTGGAGGCATCATTCTTAAATATGGTAGCTGACCTACTGTGTGTGTGTGTGTGTGTGTGTGTGTGCTTGAGGCGGCAAAAACGCTAGAGCCGGCCCTGGCTGATGTACACTTTTTTTTTAATCCTATGAATGTTTGGAGCTCAACTAATATAGCCATTTTCCTAGGCAACCAGGTGGATTACTTGTGATAGTGCATGAAGCTGTAGTAGTTTTCCCTATCTTGTTTTTGAGTGCAAATGCCAGAGAAGGACAAACAGATCCTTCTATTTGTCACCATAGAACTGTGAGGGAACGGTGCTATCATGCATCCATGAATGCTTCAAAAGCCTTAGAAACTGAGATTCCCCAGCCCCTAATATTTTTCTCTGCCCACTATACTGAAGAGCATGAGATCATTTTTCCAGCTGTCAAGCATGAAACGTGCACTTCTGTTTCACCATGTTATGATGCTTCATTTTTCATTTCATGCTACAACAATGAACTTTGCTGTCTGTCATATGTTCAGCAGCAAAATTAAGAGTTGCTGTATTAACCAATTCATGCTTTGTATCATGTTTTGCCAGGTACATTTGTGTTTTTCACAGACATGACCTGATCAGGGGCACATACCATAACAGAGTTAACGTTTATTTTCTCTTAACAGGAAAATAGCTGCTGCCTTTAAGTTTGCTCAGGCCACCCAGAATAATGGTACGCTTAAAGGATCTAACTCATCTTGTCAGACATCTGGTATACTGCCGCAATGGTAATTATTAAGCTTTTAACACCTTAAACCAAATTCAGATCAAAATAGTTCTAAACACGGGCTAAATCTCATTTACATCCACCTAAAGACCCCTTTACAGTGCCACTTATTGGGTGGTTATGTTTGGCCCCCATCTGGTTACTTCCACATTTACATGTAGTGTAGTCATTTATTATTGTATCCATTTTATAAGCTAGATGTATGCTCCTTTTTCCTGGTCTTTTTTCTCCAAATAATCAATAAATTGTACATTTTAAGCAGAATTTAATTGTTCTGTCCTATGGCATCTGAATAAACTGCAGAAGTAAAATGTGCATTGTAGTAATAGCCTTAATGCCCACTTGAGGGGAAAATCAGTGTGTGTGTTTATAACACATGCTCCCATGTTACCAGGTGTTGCTCCTGCTGGGGAAAGGTTAAGTAGGTTCTGCTGACTCTTTAAGACAGGTGACTTATTGCCTCATCTGAACATCAGGGAAGTGGGAGTGACTTTCTAGATAAAGAAGATCAAGGGTGTGGGCTGAATGGCCTGAGGTAGCTACCCAAAGAGCAGCCAAGCCAGGAGAGAAAGACTGAAGGAAGTGAATTTCTCTCTGTATGTGGTTTGTAGACTTTGTCTAAGAGCAGGCTGAGAAAGGCTGTATTCCCACCGTTCTGTGCTTTTCAGATAAAATTGTTTATCTCTGCGCAGCTGATTCAAACCCAATAATGCCCAACATCATAAGCCTATATCATGGCATATGGCTGGAACAAATGAAACATGAGGAAAAGGAAGCATTCCTTCCCCCGCCCCCCTCCGCCCCCCCGAATAAGCACTGATCTCATTTCACAGCTGGAACTGGCAAGGTGCCTTTGAATTAAAGCATGAAGAGGCCATTGTTTTGCTGCACGTTTACAGGAGAACCAGCATGGTGGTACCAAATTAGAAAACCACCACAAATGAGGCATGCTGCAGCTGTTTCAAGCGACTGCTACAGTCTGCATCCTCCCAATGCAGCATTTAGCCCTTTTGGCTATAAAAATATTTTTAAGGAATGGCAAAGACATATGTTAAGAGATAAATAAAATATTGTTACTTTTCAATGGCCCTTCTAACTTGCACTCTTCTTTTGAAGGTGTATGCAGGGGCGGCTCCAGGCACCAGTGCAGCAAGCGCATGCCTGGGGCGGCAAGCCGCAGGGGGCGGCGTGCCGGTGGCCGTGAGGGCGGGAGTCAGGTGGCCTTCGGCGTCATTCCTTCGGGAGGTCCGCCGGTCCCGAGGCTTTGTCGGAAATTCGGTGGCAGGAAAACTGAAGGCGCGGGACCAGCAGAGCACCTGCAGAAACGCCACCAAATCCGCGTCACCAGCGGACCGCCCACAGGCATGCTGCCGAAGGCCGCCTGACTGCCGTGCTTGGGACAGCAAAAAACATAGCGCCGCCCCTGGGTGTATGTTTATTTATTTATGTTTGCTGACCAACAATCTATTTTCATGTGACTGTGGAGCCAGATTTTCAAAGTAAGTCAGTGCTCAAGAGTTGGGGTCAGATTTTCACCCAGCAGTTCCCATTGCGATACTTAGAACCAGATTTGCAGCATGCTGGGTAGCAAAAATCTGGCCACTGAAAGGGAGCTGAGCTCTTTTGAAAGTCTAAAAATATTTTTAATATAATCAAATAATTGCCAACAAATCAGAGACATTTTTAGTTGAGAGGAAAGTAGACATAAATGCTCAATTTATTGCTAAAACTGTTAGTGCCTTGGGTCCTGATTTTCTACCTTACATGTCCACGAGTAGAAGGGCCTCTTCCTGGGCAGGTTACTCCTGGTGGGAAAAGCTCAGGGCAAAGCCCACCCTTTGCCTATGTGTATTTGGAGGAGATGGGAGTCCACTCTTTGGGAGAGCAGGACAGGAGGTGATGGGGTTGGAGTGGAGCCACCATCTGTGGCATCCTTCTCCCTGTCCCACAATTCTGATGACTCCATCGAACACCATACAGCCAGCCCCTTCCCCACCCCCAAAAAGAGGGTTAGGGTATGAGGGAGGCCTGGATAGCACAGCTTAAAGACCCATATTTTTCACAGTCAAGGTAATTTACCATTGGAACAACTTGGATGTGGTAGATTCTCAGTCAGCTGAAGTCCTTAAAGACTGCACAAGACAAGATTGGTTGTCTTTCAAAACAACACACTATCTAGCTCAGCCAGAAGTTATGGGGTTGATGCAGGTAAATCTTCCTGGCCTGTGGTATGTAGGAGACACGGTTGTCATACTGGTACCTTCTGGCCTTCACGTCTACTAAAGAAAGATCTCCTTCAGGGTCATGTTGAAATGGAAGCTGCGGGGAGTAAGGGTAGGAGTGCTGAGGCACAAGCTCTCCACTTGGATGGCTTTTGGCAGCTCTCCTGAGTGTTGTGGCTCTCAGAAAACTTGTGATTTTCAGGGAATAAACCTCCTTCCCATTCCATGGTCAGGCATGGGGTTGGAAACCATGGGGGAAAGTTGGAGGTAACCCTCCCTCCTCTCCTTCTGAGGGTTTGATCATGTGCTAACTGTGCAAGTCAAAACTCATACAGATTCTAGGCCTGTATGCAGAAAATAACATGTGCAGAGGAGAAAATTTTCAAAACTGTGTACTTAAAGTTAGGCATCCATATTTAGGCAGCTAAATAAAAGAGACCTGATTTTCAGACGTGCTGTCAGTTCTCACTGAATTCAGCAGTGGATGTAGGTTCCCAGTACTTTTGAAAATAAGGCCATTTTTATTTTGGAACCTTTGTATGAATGTATATGCCTGAATTTGGTGCCCTTAGTTTTAAATGTCTTCTATTTAGCAAAATAGTCTATTGTATTCATTAGCAGAATACGAAAAGAATTTATCTTTTTTATTATCAGTGTCCATTCTAAAATCATCAGTCCCCCATTATTTATTAATTGTGTTTAATAATTTGTGGTGGTAAGTTTTCTCTGTATTCTAAACCAACAGAACTTAGCTCAATTCCTCTTCCCTTAAGGGCTGTCGTGTAAACATTGGTCAGTGTTTAAACCAGCGCTTCTCCTAGTAATAAGCGAATGTTGTTATGTCTCCTGTGATCTCAAGAAATCACAAAACATCTGCTTGTGTTATATATACCTTGCTGACTTTGTTCTTCAGCTATATTAACCTGAAATATTTTGCATCTGTTGGTCTCCCTTACGGTCATTGAGAAATACTGCAGATAATTCTGAGAGACATGGAAAAACTATAGGGACATGATAACATTTAAACAAAAAATGGTGCTCTCTCAATTTCAGGATGCATTCTACTTCCAGTCATGATGGCCACAAACATCACAGATCTCAAACATTACCAATAATCCGTGGCAAAAATGCATTTTCCAACCCCAAACTCTTGCAAATGATAGACAGCAGCATGGCAAGTAAGTATGAAGGAAATGAATCTACTTATCTGTCTGTCTCTCTATCTTAGATTTCTCTATAGAGCCCAGCCCATAATGTATAAGAGTCTGATCCAAAGCCCATTGAAGTCAATGAGAGTCTTTACATTGATTTCAATGGGCTTTGCATCAGGCCCTAAGGGCTGAAATGGAACTTGTATGAATATTAATAGTTGGACTATAGACCTGTAAAGAAAAAAAAGCCAACACTTGCAAACATCAGAACCTGAAGATAGGTACTTAAACACATATTTAGAAAACGAAATTAGTAGTTTGCTTTTCAGAGGTGCTGACTTCCCATGGACTTCAGTGGATTCATACCACCCACGTTTTTGCCTAGCTCATTGAGTTCCGTGGTAATTTGCACCAGCTGAGAACCTGCATACATTTTTTCTGAGGGAGATGTGATGATAGGATATAATTCCTTGTTCAAATCTCTTGTCAGGCTGAATGTAATCTGTGATGAAAAAAGCAAACAAAGAAACAATATTCTGCAAAGTTGAAAAGATGTTACAAAATTAACAAAATTGAAGCAAACAACCCTCTTTCCCCTTTTAGCTTACATGCACACTTAGGAATGAATGTTTGTACTGATTTGGGAAGCAGTTCTTGATCTGATTGGAGGGTTATTTATCTTGATACTCACTTTGTTGTTCTCTTCCCACTTCTTTTGCTGCAGGCAGCTCCAATGACACAGACATTGTACACTACGCAGACACAGAGGCAAATATTGCCACAGAGGTTTGCCTCACCATTCTTGACCTACTGTGTCTTTTCACTCAGAACCACCAGGTATGTTCTATTGTTGCAAATTCTGCTTGAAATGGTGTCATAGGTTTGAGCAAAAAGAGAATGCCCATGAGTACATTACAAACAAATATAATGCCAAATCATTCCATTATTGAGGGGTTTCGGTGGGGTGAAGGAAGGGGAGTACTAAGCCCCCATGCAGGTACTGGCCTAAAGTGTCCTGGCTGAGCAGAAGAGCTAAGAAAAGGGATGACCCATGGAAACAGCATCACTTGCTACGGTGTGATGATAGTAATGCTTTGATCTCATATAAACCTGTCATTAAAAAATCTCAATACCTTTACAAAGGTGGGTAAGTATTATCCACATTTTTAAAATGGAGACACTGAGGCACAGAGAAGTTAAGGCCAAACTTTTCGAACTTGGGTGCCTAAAGCTTAGGCTGCTAACTACTTACTGAGGCACCTGAATAAAAGGGCTGGTCTACACTACCGCAGCAAGTCGACCCAAGTTACACTACTTCAGTTACATGAATAACGTAACTGAAGTAGACTTAGCTTAGGTCGACTTACTGCGGTGTCTACACCTCGCTGTCAACAGGAGACGCTTTCCCACTGACTTCTCTTACTCTTCTCAGAGACGTGGAGTACACAAATCAATGGGAGAGCGCTCTGCCATTGATTTAGTATGTCTTCACCAGACCTGCTAAATCAACACCTGCTGTATTGATTGCAGCAGTGCCAATCTACCGGTAAGTGTAGACATGGCCAAAGTCATCTGAATTTCAGAGATGCAGAAATAGCTGCTACTGAAGTCAGCGGGCGTTGTGGATGCTCAGCACCTCTTAAAATCAGGTCACTGATCAAGCCATTCTTGCAATACAGATTTAGAAGTCTAACTGTAGGCATTTAAGTTAGAAAATGTTGGCCTAAGTGACTTGCTCAAGGTCACACAGATAGAAAGTGGCAGCCATCATCAGAGCCCAGTTCTCATGAATCCCACTTCCCTGTCCTAAGTGGTATATGTAATAGTTAGTGTTAATGAATAGGGAGAACAAACAGTGGAAAACAATGGTCGCATATTACTGTAGGTATGAAGAGCCCGCAGCCCGCGGGGGATGCCTCACGTTGCTGGTAACCTCTAAGCACTTGTAGGGCTGACATTAAAGATACTACCACATTTGGACACATTAGGACTTGGTGCAAAAAAACGAAATGAGCCATTTTCTGTTCCATTATTTTAAAAATATTACAATCCTGTTTGTGTGCTAACTTTTCAGAGACAACTCCAGCAATCTGATTGCCAGAATGCACTGATGAAAAAGGTCTTTGATACCTACCTGCTCTTTTTGCAAGTCAACCAGTCGGCAGTAGCCCTCAAGCATGTCTTTGCTGCCTTGCGGTTGTTTGTGAGCAAGGTAACTATACTTTTATTCCATTTGAAAACTGTTACATAAGGTTGGCAGGGCAGTGCAACAAATCCAACTTTGTGGAGGATTTCACACTTTAAGGTGCTTTCTGTCTCTTCATTTCATTGTTATTTAGGGATCAGTGTTGAAAAAGACCATCTGATTTACTATCTGCAGTTTTGTAGGTACAAATAATTATGGGAGTATTTTCTAACCCTTAGACGCTGAACTACCTCACTGTGCCTGGGAACCAGATCTAAAAGCTACAAAATCAGAGCTGGAGTTGAGGACATTTTAAAAAAATAATCAGGATTTGGCAGATGGATTATAGTGATGACTGAGGAGAAGTGGGAGAAATGCTACTGTAATTTTGTAACATTAAACAAAATGGATCTGATTGTCCAGTCCCTTACATGTAACACAGTAGTGGAGAAAAGTTTAAGCTACATGCTTAATTCTTCCACAATGGTTGTAAATTGCAAAAAAAAAAAAAAAAAAAAAAAAAAAAAAAAAAAAAAAAAAACCAAAACAAAAAAAAAAAAAAAAAAAAAAAAAAAAAAAAAACAGAAATATGGTCATGCCTCTTCCAGCAACATAGCTCAAAGGCCAACAGAAGCATAAGATAAACCAGTCACAGCCTGCTTTAAATTACACACCAGACTTCCAGGAGCCAGAGGAGCATGTGCAGTGGCAGGAGAGCAAATATCTAACATCATCTGATCCATCCACCCCATTGCCTTCAGGGGCTGTGTTCTTTCTCCAAACGTCTGTAGGCATATTGATCTCAGTAGTGGCTCCTGTGGGGATAATAATCTCTATAGCAATCTAGATCTGCGCCAAACATGCTTATCTTCTCCCTCGTCTCATTCCTTCTGTTTTCTACTGTCTCCATCCTGTGATCAGTAGCTCTCAACGAACAGAGCCACTTGGACCTTTACATCCTACACTCTCTGCCTTCTAATGCTGTTCAGACTGTTGGCCACAAGGGGAACACTGGCTTAATGTGACATGAAGGCATAGTAATCAATAGAGAGGAGTGAAATTTTTCAGCAAAATGTTTTCTGGCAAAAATATCAGATTTGGCAACACTGAGATGTTTTATGAATTCATGCCAATTTCACCAAATTATTTGTTTTGAAAATAAACTAGCCCTCTCCCCTTACCTCCTCCCCTTCCATCCCCCCCCCCCCCCCCCCCCCCAACAAAAATAATTCCATTTTTGGTTTGAAATAGCTTTTTGTTTTGAAATTTATTTTAAATTTCTTTAAATAAATTCAAAAACATTTAAAAATGCTCAAATTGAATTATTTTGTTTCAGGTCAACTGAAACATTTAATTCAATTCAAAACATTTTTTTTAACTTTTGGATTCACCAAATATTTTGAAATTTTTTGTTTTTAGTCCAACTGAAATGAACTTTTTCAACCTTTCGAGACTGCTGCAAAACCCCCATTATTTCCCCAGTTGTAGTGCTATTCCAAACTTTTTTCTCCTCACTGGTCAGCTTTTATAATGCTGTCTGAACTTTCCCCAGCGTCCTTGACTATGCTATTTTCATTGTAACTGCTGCACCTCACTATGCTTTCAGTGCACATGATGTTATTTGTGTATCAAATACAAATTTGGAAGGTCAATTTGACTGATGCTTTGTACACAACAGGATTTGATTAATGCTTTGTACACAACTTGCACACACTGTTTTCACTTTCATTTTTACACAGAAAAGAATGCTTAGCTAGTGGCAGATGTTTTTGCTAGACACTGGTGTGTCTGAGAGATAGAGGCTTGTTTTTAATGAAAGTTTGACACAAAATATGTTCATTCAAAATGAATGTAGCAAGGAGTGGGAGAAGTGCTAAACATTTTGACATTTTTTTTCTCTATAGTTTCCTTCAGCGTTTTTTCAAGGGCAAGCAGACATGTGTGGATCATTCTGCTATGAAATCCTGAAATGCTGTAACCATAGGTCACGGTCAACTCAAACAGAGGCATCTGCTCTTCTTTATTTTTTCATGAGAAAGAACTTTGAATTTAACAAGCAGAAATCAATAGTCAGGTCCCATCTACAGGTGAGTGAAGTGTAAGATGCACTTTAAACAATGTATACGGGCTATATAAAATATTCCACTGAAATGACTCTTTGAATTCTGCAAATCACAATTTCTCTGTGTCATTCTAATTTTTCTGGCATGTCTGAAAACATTGGACCATATTCACCAGTTCATTCCAGCTGTTTTGCTTTGTGCTGGTGATCCAAAGCAGCTGCAAACTTAACTAACTGGCCAGTTAAATCAGGTTTATGGCTTCATTGCATCACAGGCACAGCATATAGCAGTTGGAGCATATCTGACTCAGTGTGTCACCAGTGTGGGCTTAATTTACATCTCCAATTTTACAGTAGTGTGATTCAATCAGTACAGATACATGGACATAAAACTGAAGTAATACAGTGATGAGACAGGATCTAACATTTTAAAATGTAAACAATTATAAACATGTAGAAGACAATTTGTTATTTATATTTATGTATTTGTTTATATTTTGTCTTGATAAAATATTTGTGGAAAGCCCTTTTCTCTCCCCCTATCAGTTTTAATTCTCTGTTTTAAAAAATCAGCAAGAGTTGGAACTATGTCCAAACTTTGCTTTCCTTTAGTAATCATACATTGTTCTTTTTTCCTCTTCACCTATAGCTCATCAAAGCTGTAAGCCAATTGATCGCAGATGCAGGGATTGGTGGATCTCGGTTTCAACATTCCCTTGCAATTATAAATAATTTTGCTAATGGAGACAAGCAGATGAAAGTAAGAAAGGTTTTGTGTCTGTCACTGCCTGTTATAGATGATTGAATGATAGGAAGAACTGATTCACAAATACTTTTATGAATAAAAGGACTGACTTAGTTTTATAGTGATTCATGGTTCATGTTATTATTTTCTCAAGTAAATGTTTGTGAATCCCAAAATCTTAATAAATATAACATCAAATATCAGGGGGTAGTCATGTTAGTCTGTATCTACAAAAACAACAAGGAGTCTGGTGGCACCTTAAAGACTAACAGATTTATTTGGGCATAAGCTTTCGTGGGTAAAAACCTCACTTCTTCAGATGTTTATTCATCTGAACTTATTATTTGTTATTCACTATTTGTTATTCTCCTTTTGAAAATGTTTCACCCATCCAATCATGGAGCAGAAATTATGCCATATGACCAGTGAAACACCATGAATAGCATGTAGTTCAAGTTAACAGTTCCCAAATGATATTTAGGTTAGAAATTATTCTTCCAACTATGTAGAAAATACTTATGAATAATAAATACGTTAATAGAAAATCCAGATTGGTTTGTGAATAATTTGCTAACCCAAAATAAGGGGCTTAACTCATAGTAAGTATTATTTTAATAACTGTTTAGACCCCACTCTGCTAAATATATTAGAAAACAGTTTTAAATCACGATTTGTGTATTTTTATAAGCTCTTGTCAAATACTTTTCAAGAAACATTTTCAACTTTATTCTTATGGGGCTTACTCTCCTTTCACTAACAGTGGAGTAAATCAAGAGTAAGTCCATTTAAGTCAATAGTTACACTGATGTAAAATTAGTGTAAGTAACATGGGAGTCTCGCCTGTATTTTATTTTGTCAAAGGGCAGCTTTGATCTTTGATCTGCTAATCTTGTATCTGTGTGTTCTGCTTTTGTAGCATTCTCAGACCTGCCAATCAAAAGAAAGGCACAATTTTTTTTTCTGTATCGTTATGCTCTCTACACCTATGCAAAAAAACAAACACAAACAAAATCCCACAGCCCTGAAAATCAGAATTTATTATCGTCCATCTCAAAAAGAAAAACAGCAGAACTGACATAAATTTTTTTGGGGAAAAATCTATGATCTGGCTGATAGGAAGACCAAATGTTAATCTTGTGTGGTTTGAAATGGCTATGGGCGAGACTGAGATACCATTTCTCTCACTGAATACTACCTTCTGCCATTGAAGTTAGTGAGGCTACCTGTGGAGTAAGGTATTCCTTCATCAGTAAGTGTATCCAAATCTGGCAATAAATTTAGCAGTCTTTGTTTAATCCTGAGCTGATGGTGTCAAATTTGCAGATGAAATTTGACACCATCAGCTCAGGATTAAACAAAGACTGTGAATGGATAGCCAACTACAAAAGCAGTTTCTCCTCCCTTGGTGTTCACACCTCAACTGCTAGAAGAGGGCCTCATCCGCCCTGATTGAACTAACTTCGTTATCTCTAGCCTTACTCACTCTTGCTTGCATATTTATACCTGCCCCTGGAAATTTCCACTACATGCATCCGAAGAAGTGGGTATTCACCCTCGAAAGCTCATGCTCCTATACGTCTGATAGTCTATAAAGTGCCACAGGACTCTTTGCTCCATGTAGACAGTGGTGTAACTGAAATCAGAATATGGACTAGGGTTTCTAATGGATGCTGTGACACATCAGTAAATAAATGGCAGAGAAATGTTCAAATATGTAAATATAATGGGACTATGAGTGTGATCTAAATAGGAGTCTATCCATTGACTTCAGGCCCAGTCAGGGGTGATACTATAGTTTAACACGATAAAAGTATGGCTTTGTAGGCCTTTTCAATGATTCATTGCTTATCTTTTCCAAAGAACAGTCCCTTTCCAGCAGAGGTGAAAGACCTGACCAAACGCATCAGGACAGTTTTAATGGCCACAGCTCAGATGAAGGAACATGAGAAAGACCCAGAGATGCTTGTAGACCTACAGTACAGCCTAGCAAACTCATATGCCAGTACACCTGAATTACGAAGGACTTGGCTAGAAAGCATGGCCAAGATTCATGCTAGAAATGGAGATTTATCAGAGGTAATTTACATAAGACAAAGAAATCAGTCTGTATTTAGATTGAGATCTACAGATGAAAAGCACTCTATAAAAGCTCGGTATTATTAATTATGATGATTATTAGCTAAGCTAAACGTGCAGTTTCCCTCATGTGACTAAAATAAGATGTGGACTGGGTTGAAGAATGCCTGAATATGCTGTATATTACAGGCTATATACCAGGGATTAACCATGACTAGCTGACACATTGCTGAGCATGATTTGTCCTTGTCTACAGTGACCACAAGGCCATTGTCAGCATCCTGTTAGCCAATTCAGCTGTTAAAATCATGTTTAAACACAATGTAATTTCCTAATGAAGACAAGACTAGGTTGTTTGTTTTTCAGCACAGGATATGATCTGGGTCATAGCACAAATTTTTCTTTTTGGCAAAAATGTTATTTGTATTAAATTGATTAATTGAACCCCAAGATCTTAGCCCAATAATACCTTGTTTCCAAAGTAACTGTATTTTCTATGGGTTAGATCCTGACGCTCTTGTTTAACCCATGCTCTATACGTACGTAGGCGAAACTCCTATTAAAATCAATGATAGTTTTGCGTGAGTAAGGACTTGGTATTTGACCTGTGATTTCTTCAAATTGTCAAACTAAGTTTGTTTCCCCTTTTCCAAAACATATTCCGATAATGAAGAGGGTTTCTGTCCCTCAGCAAATTAATAATGTAGGATCTGTGGTGTACTTTAATATATTTATATGGTCTCTGGTTTCAGGCTGCTATGTGCTATATCCATATAGCTGCCCTCATTGCAGAATACCTGAAAAGAAAGGGTAAGTTAAATGTATTCAAATGCAATAATTAATGCAGAGAATTATACAACACATTTTGCAACTGTTTTACTTCATTCAGATCACATTTGTTTTCTTTTCAAGCTATCCTGCTGCTTGTACCCTTCACACATGTTTAAGATATGAGACTAGTAAATTCTTATTGTAACAGCAAAATAAAATACATATTTTATACATAAGAGGTTAATTGAATGTTTAGCTTTTTAGTGCTAAAAGAGAATGCTTAATTTGTTAGTGTGTCATTATTAAATATGCATGTTATTAACACATACCAGTAGCACTATACTAATAACATCTTACACTACCATAGGTTACTGGAAAATGGAAAAGATTTGTACCTCACGTATGCTCCTGGAAGATGTTCAAGTCTCTGATAGTAATCTGTTACTAACTACTCACAATGGAGGAAGTGAGTGTTCTAACCATGCCTGTTTATGGTTCAAGTAACGTCATGTAGGAAATCGAGTTACTGCTCTTAAACTGCTCTAGTGAAAGAAGATGTTCTCAGAAGGGGAAAGAATTATGTTGCATGATTATGTTTTTAATAGAAAGCAGTTAATACTAGGAAATATTGTGAGATACTTTTCTGATGCTCATTTTGGTTGGACTAATTAATTATCTTGATGAATTGTACAGTATGTCACTAGTTAATGTTTACCAACAATAAGCCATTCTGCTACTGATCCATTGAGGGAACTCCTACTTTAGTCAGTGGGAGTTTTGCACAAAAATACGTCGTCATAGGATCCTGTAATTTTCATTTCAAAGTGAGATAAACTGCTTAAAAAGGACAATATTATTAAACAATTATACATCATCAATGTTCAATAACAGAAGTAGAAATAAGACCTTGATTGTACAGTCAGAAAAAATTAACATCCAGATAATGATATTGTACATAATACACGATGGACAGCTTTTTAACTGGAGTTCATTTTCTTCCTTATCATATGATAAAACATTAAAGGCCCAATTCTGCATGGTGCAAGAGTATCTCTTGCAAGATGGTACATGCCTGTATGTACCACATCAAGTCAAATGGAGCCAAGTCTTGCAGGAGAGAGACTGCAGTTTGTATGATTGGGTCTTAGGCCCCTCCCTCCCCGCCCTCCTTTTTTTTTTTTTTTTTTTTTTTTACAGTTTATGATAAATCAAGTTTTATGGTTCAACCATTTATTTAGTGTAATAGTGAAATGCCCATGCAGAAAAAAAATATGTGATTATATTTTGGATTAAATTCCTTGACTTTGGTAGGACTTTTGGACCCTAATCCCCAGTTGGGTGACTTTTTCCGGCCACAAGATTTTTATGGCTACATAAAATCACCTCATTTCAGGGGGGAAAATAAAGGGGAAAAAAAAGAAATGTTGTTGCAGTTACTGTAATGCTGCTCCTCTCAGAATTGATGTTCAAATTAATATATTCAACTTCCCAATCATTTGCAAAACCATTTTCAGAGTTGACAATAATATCTTTCCTTCTCACATTAACAGAGAAAACCCATTAAATGCATCGATTAGGGTTAGAATCTATTAAAAGGAGGAAGTGTTCATTTATTTTTTTTTAATGTAAAGCCTTCATTTGTACCAAGTCTGAGATGAGTGGAGCTATGTAAAACTCCTACAGAATGTCATTTTTCTGAGGCTCATGTAAACATCAGTTGTGTGACTGGGGAATCAAGCTAGCAATGAGACTGATCCTGCTCTTACTGAGGTCTGTGACAAAACTCCCATTTGACCACAGTGCGAGGAGGATCAGGCCCGATATCTGATTGTCTACACATAATTGCTAGTCTAGATTATTTTACTTAGAGCATAGCAGAAAAATAAAAAATATGATTTTTTTCTTTAATTATATTGTTCCTCTGCCAATCTCTGTTAGTTTATTAAACTTACATTTCAGGGTTGTTCTCAGCATGAACTAGCTCTATTGGCACAGCTTCCATAAAGAATTGCTTCTGTGGAAAAGAGAATAAATATGGGGGGGGGGGGGGGGGAGGGAAATAAGATGTGTGTTTTGGAAAGGAGAGAATAGTCTGATAGCTCATAAATGGTGAAGTCACATCATCTGCAGGAGTGAGACAAAATGTATTAAGGGAAGTATGCTTTTCATCAAGCGGGGGAGTGTGATGGGAAAGTCATGCATGTAAAGAATGAACAGCTTCAGGGTAACGTCAAAACTCAGAGGCAGTAAAACGTCAAATAAGTCAAAACAAATAGTAATAGCAACACCTTTGTGGTGTGTGCCTCTGTGTTTCTGTGCACAGTGCTATAGTATATTTGACTCTAAATTTAATGGATTACCATCCTTCAAATTTTTCTACTGTTAAAACTAAACATCAGATATTTACGTTTGTCTTAACGTCACCTCTGGCAGATTTTCCTTTTAAAAAGCACTAATGTATTAGTGGTCCAAAACACTATGGGCCAGATTCTGCCAATCTTACCCTTAGCGAGTAATACTGTATTTTGTACATAGTCTAGCTGAAAAGTACTGAACTACTTACATGCTTAATTTTATGCACTATGAGTGCTCTCATTGACTTCAGAAGGATTACACATAGTGTGTCAAGTTAAATATGTAAGTCTTTGCAGGATAAGGGCCGATTGTACTAGTCAACATGAGTAAGGGTGGCAGACTCTAGCCCTGTAGTAATGCCATTGTACCATTACTGTAGAATACTATCTTCTATGTGTAGTTTTATATGGGTTGGCAGAGTGATACAACACAAGTGGAGTAGTGACACGCAGCGGAAAGGAGAAGATTTCTCTGAGATCATTGCCTTATGAGTACATATTGGTGTATCTTCCTAGACAAGTGGATTTATGCAACAGAGGGAATTTAGAATAATGTGTCATAAATTCAATCAGTTCCATTTGTGCCACTCATCACTTGGATTGTAAAAAAATAAAAAAAGTAATAATCTTAGCCAAATAAAACTGGTTGTCGTTTTACAACATCCTATAGCTTTTTAAAATCCATGGTTATACAAGTATTAATTAGCATTTTTATGGCTTGTACTTCAAGGCTTATTTTCCATGGGATGGCCAGCTTTTCTAAATATTACCCCAAACATTAAAGAAGAAGGAGCTATGAAAGAAGATTCGGGAATGCAAGATACTCCATATAATGAGGTTAGCAATGGTAGCATTTAAATAATATTGTTCTGTATTCTTTTAACTTTATTACTTTAAGGTTGTTTTTTTTAAGCTATTTATTTATTTAGGAAGTATTAACCAGGTTATAAATCCTTGTCATGTAAATATCAGAAGCAAAACAAAATCAAAGGGCTGGTCCACACTACCCGCCCAATTCGGCGGGTAGAGATCGATCTTCTGGGATCGATTTATCGCGTCTCTTCTGGACGCGATAGATCAATCCCAGAAGCGCTCCCCCGTCGACTGCGGAACTCCTGCTCGCCGAGAGGAGGAAGCGCTGTCGACGGGGGAGCCTGCCTGCGCCGCGTGGACCCGCAGTAAGTAAATTTAGTTCGATCTAGGAAACGTCGACTTCAGCTACGCTATTCTCGTAGCTGAAGTTGCATTTCCTAGATCGATCCCCCGCCCCAGTGTGGACCTGCCCAAATTGAGCTTTGGTTTAAAGAGACATTATAAAGGAATATAGTAACCAGATGTCTCTATTTAGAAGAATGTTACCATGTTACAGAGCATCGTTACCACAGCTGTGACATGTTTCTAGTGATTTTATTAAATGGGGTGAAATCTCTATACACAAATTTAACAAACCAGGCATGTCTATTAAATGTTAATATACCAAAATATTGAAAAGGTGTGATGGGGGTTTCTGTAGGCAAATGTACTTTGAGTATTGAATAAAAGGTAACCAGATATCTAAGTATATATTTGTCCTCTGTCTGTTTTGCTGGGTATATAATTGGTGTGTTAATTTTTCTTGAACAACCACTTCCCATATTTTGGAACCATTGCTCTATGGTTGGACTATTTTTTCTTTTTCCAGTGAAAGGCTACCAATAGCCAAGCAGCTACAGTAGAATCTCAGAGTTACGAACACCTCAGGAATGGAGGTTGTTCATAACTCTGAAATTTTCATAACTGAACAAAACGTTATAGTTCTTTCAAAAAGTTCTTTCAGTTGTTCTTTTTACAACTGAAAATTGACTTAATACAGCTTTGAAATTTTACTACGCCAAAGAAAAATGCTGCTTTTCCTTTATTTTTTTAGTAGTTTACATTTAACACAGTACTGTTTTTTTTTTGTTTTTTTTTTGGGTATCTCTGCTGCTGCCTGATTGCATACTTCTAGGCCAAATGAGGTGTGTGGTTGCCTGGTCCGTTCGTAACTCTGGTGTTTGTAACTCTGAGGTTCCACTATACTAGCAGATGACAGATTAATTCTTCATTTCCTTTTGTGTGACCATTTCCACCCAGAATTCCCAGAAGGATTATTTGATAATGAATAGTCAACAATTTGTGATATTGGTTACAGATTACATCCAGTACTCTCTAATGACTGGACATGCCCAACATACATGCATAAAATCTCCTTTTTCACCACAATAGCTGGTGTGAGGTACCACTGAAACAGTGTCTTAAAGAAATTTTCTTTTATTGTGCTATGAGGTTGCTGGTACTCTTTTCAAGATCTAACCTCATTACTCTGGGGTAATTTGTTTATCCAGGTCCTTTTCCCAGCATGTCACACATGGACATTTTTTTGTTTGGATAGTTTTCTGTAAAGTTTAATATAAATTAGCTATAATTTTTTCTTTCCTAATTCACCTGATGCCGTTACGTCTCTTAAAATTAGCTTTCTGTATAAAACAGTTTTTCTAGAAAGTTGAGAATTATAATGCCTAACTTGAAAACACTGGTACCACAGAAGAGTGGGACAGTCAAAGATAGTTTCGATCACTAAATAAGTTAGAAAAGTTTCTTTACTGAATAGGGGCCAACTGTATGTATTCCATGGCTCTCTCAATCTTTAAAAGTATCTGGTTTATGATTTGGGTTAAGATCTGAATTATTTGCAATGGCTGTTATTGGTGAGGGAAAAAGAACTTTTCTTTAGTTCTATCCCAAACCTATAGTGTAGCCTTTGCAGAAAGATATGCATATGTTTCTGGAGGGCAATAACATTTTTATATGATTCCTGCGCACATTATAAATGTGATAAACTATATTAAGGGATCACTTTACCCAGTGCAGACTCCTTTCACCTAAAACATGGCAATTGTTTAACAATGCACAATAAAGCCACAAAAACATCCAATTTAAATAACTGGGGTGGAATTTTATCTTGACCGATTGTAAAATACCAGAATTGGAATATGGGGAGGAAACCCTGACTAAAACATCCCTCTGCTTCTCCAAAAAAGTGCCATGGGGTCTTTTTCTGCCTACAAATGTTTTATATCTCATCCATTGACTTGCTAATGGCTCTGATGGAAGAGTGCTAGTGATTCACTAGGTAGCTACCTTCTGTAGCACCTGTGTGTTCTTCAAAGGCCCAAGCACTGTCTAAACCAGTCTGGCATTACTTCTCTTGTGGTAGCTTGCAGAAGCATGGCACCAGGTGGTATGATTGCAGATATATGATAGCTGGTGGTTTCTGAAGTGTTGGGAATTTCTTATTTTTGGCATTTTGAACCTTTAAAGTGGTACTTAGTCCTACATAAGACTGTAGCAGGTTGCCAAATGATTTTCACCAATTTCTTACTAACCTTCTTATGACTATATTAACCTACTGTATAGAAGAAGTCCATATTGAAATAAAACAATATATATGTACTGCTGATGTCATCATAATTACCAAATGCAATCAACAAGCAAGTCACCATAGAATTTTTATTTGTGGGATTACAGAATATCCTTGTGAAGCAGCTGGAGTTGTGTGTTGAATACCTGTGGAAGTCTGAAAGATATGAACTGATTGCTGGAGTTAACAAGCCTATCATTGCTGTATTTGAGAAACAAAGAGATTTTAAAGTAAGCTGGGTTTCCAATTAAAATTTCTGTCTTAAAAAAACAAAGAGTAGGAGGAAAACACAGACCAGTGTTGTTCTTTGAATTGGCATATTTTAATTTCATTTTAATATTGCTGGGGGGGGGTTTCATTCGTCTTTTGATGACTGAGTTAAAAATATCTTGTCTGAAGCCTGTGCGAGGTTACGGAAACCCCGTGAAAATACATTTTCTATGCTTTCTGTAGCTCTGAGATCCCCTAGATATAGTTTTCATCATTCAGACCTACATTAGTAAAATTACCATATACTGACCATATATTATCATACACTATGAAGGTAGTGACCAAACATTGTTCCATCTTCATGGCTGTTCCATAGCCTACATGAAATGAGTATATTGGCCTTTAGCTCAGTTCCAAGAGGATTGGGGTCCACATCACTATAATGACTGATGCCCTGACATGCAATGAGCTCAAAAAGCGGGCAGGCTCCTGTGCCTATGTGAAGTTCATTGCAGGATTGCAATCCCCTTTTGGGCAGTCAAAGCAGAAAGACTAACTGGATGGGTGGGTGGGGGGAATTATCTACTCTCTAACCACAAAGGTGATCCCACCAGCTCAGTGTTTGGGTACATTGGTGGGACAGAGGTTGGAAACTCACATTGCTATCACCTATGCTTTACCTGTGCCATGAATGGATGAAGGGCTTTGATTTCAAATCCTGCTCCTTTCATAGGCACTAAAATCACACTCACAAATTCCTTTGGACAAATAAGCCCGTAAAGCTCATTAAAACCATAATGTTGCCTGGTGAAATTACATCAGAATTCTAGCCATTTTTTATTTAGAGATTTTAGTCTATGTCTAGCATTATATGCCCCTTCTAGGGGTCTATTCTTATTTTTACAACTCCTTTGACCAAATGAATAGGAATTGCTATATGCATTTATCAAAGAGTTGATTTTTAGCAGTGAAAATGTTTAGATATACCTAAGCATAAAAATAACCTAAACTACAGGATAAAGGATTTAATTTTGAAATTGTTCCGTGTTCGCTTTTGTTTTTTTTTAATTTCAAGTAGAAAAGCAATTACTTAATAATAATCCAACTCATTGATTTCCTTGTTTAAACTGGAAAAAAGTAATTTAGCATGGGATGTAATTTAGGAAGCAGGGCCCCAGTGCAAAACATGTCTTTTACTAGAAGTTCACACTATGATAATAAAGTTATAGAATAACTGAAACTGAGAAGGAGTAAGGTGCAAAGATGGTATAAAGAGACTCCTGATGCCCGTCCTGAGGCTGCCCCTTCTGTGCTGTGTCTCTCAGGATGTGCTCTTAATTCCATTCCATGCCCACTGAATCACAGCTCAGTAATCAGGATGAGTAGCCTCATCACTGGCCATCCAGATGTGCGGGGACCATCACCAGACAGATTTCTTTTTCTACACATTGGGACAGACTTATACTGTAACTTTTTCCTTATGGAGCTATGCAAGAAGGCTACTACCACCCTAAAACTGCGTGGCCGGGAGAAGGTAGAAGTCTTGAAATTGACCTCTTACAGCTGCTACTGAGAATAAAGAAGGTAGCCACCTCCACATGATTGGAAATCCCATGGAGGCAAATTTAACCTGAATAAAGCCTTTAAAAATATAATTTTACATTGCACTTTTTCTGTTCCCTTTTACCTTAGAGACTGTCAGATCTGTACTATGACATCCATCGATCATATCTGAAGGTCGCAGAAGTAGTGAATTCTGAGAAACGTTTATTTGGGCGATACTATCGTGTTGCTTTTTATGGGCAGGTACGTCAGCCTCAGATTCCATGTATAAGTCCGTGTATCGATAGATATAAAGGTGCACATTTTGGGGAAATCATTCTGGGGACACTTTTCTTAAGGAAATTAAACTAGGCAAACATGGTCAACAATGAAACTATGTAGTAATAGTAATTAAAAAAGCCTGGGCTGAGCCCAGAAGTCTTTACTTTACATCAGTGTAAATTGTTAGAGTGGATTTACACTGGTGCGATTGAGAGCAGAATTTGCACCTCAATTTCTAGTCATTCCTTACTCAGGCAAAGCTGATTTTGAAGTCAAGGGCAGTGATGTTTTATGTGAGTAAGAATGTAATAAAACCTGGTAATGCCCTCAGTATTCAGTCCTATCTTTCTAAGCAGCATAAACTAGAGCTGTGAACAGTAGCTAATTTGTTGTGTTTCTTCCTGACTTTCTGACCTTCGCTTTTCAGCCCCTTCTGATTCTATGCAATATGCTGTACAGTAGTTGTATGCTATCTACTGTGCTTTAGCCTGTTCAGAGCAATCCCTGTGGCATGAATTTACGCTTTTCCCCACTGCAAACCATTGTGGGAGGCCAGCATGTTCCTTTAAGACATGTTTGGCAACCACGCAGTTTCCATTCCTCTGTAATAATAAGGTGTGTAAACAACAGATTGATATGAATCATTCTGTTTGCTAATTAGTTTTTAATGCTCTTTTCTTCTTTTGGTCTTATTCAAGGCTGTGGTAAGTTCTCTGCTCTTTTGCATGCTTTCTTTAATTCTTCTCACTCATCCTCCCCTGCCCGCGGTACAGTTTACTTAACCTTAACTTGTTGTGCTTTTCACTATTCAGTGTGGCAGATGAAATAACATTGTCACATCTCGCAAACTAATTTTTGTTTGTTCGGTTTCCCTGAATTACAAAAATGTATCCGTCACCGTGTTGCATCCATACCATGAGCCCTACTGCCAGTGACCTCAGCGAGGGCTCTGCTATTGATTCATTGGGAGCAGAACTGCACCCCGTGTTTCTTCTGGTGAAATGTTTATTGTAGCACTAATGCTGTTTAAGTGCAAAATTGTGCACTCAATGGAGTAAGACTCCTGACTCTCTGCTCAGCTACATAGGACCTACTCCAATTACAGCTGGAACAGTGGTGTTGTACACCTGACGATCCCCTCTGTGAGTCGGGGAGGGTAGGGAGGAGAAGGAAATGACCAAGAATTGGTCCCTGTTTGCTGATCAGCAAAACTGGACTCTTCAGGTGCAAGGGGGAAAGCAAAGTGCACCCTATAAAGGACAGCAGTGACTTAATGCAGGGGAGGCATTGTGACTCTCCAAGTCACAGTTCCTTCCCAAGGCAATTCCTGGGGCAGTGCAACTACATGCCATTCTTCAGTAAAGGATGAACATTAAGGTTAAAACTAGTCCTACATGAGTAGCTGAGCTGTGCTCAAACAAACAGGATTAAAATCCCCATTACAATGCAAAGGCTTTTCTGCAGCCAGTGAAACAAGGAGAACTTCATTTTAACAGCCTTAGTGATATAAAGAGTATGATTGTTTTGCAAACAAATGCCGGTTGGTTTATACGCTGGCACACGCTTAATTTAAGCTGTAAACAAGCACACATGGCTTTAAAATACATTCATGGAATTTTTAGTTTCACTAAGAAGTAGAGAGCTTTCATGTTATGGGAGGGGAAGTTGGCTTAAATTGTTCCTAACAAAGCCCCAGTGACAAAAGATAGGAGTGTAATGTGAAATTAATGATGAGTAATAGCATTTAGCAGGGGAAATCTGAAGTGATGCACTTAGTCAGTCAAATAACATCCTTTGGATGCAAACGGTTTACAGATATTCTCAGCACCATATTACCAACCGTACATGACAACCTTAGAAATAAGGCCTGATCTGAAAGGAAAAAAATCAGTCCATTTCCATGCATGACTTGTGCCTGCATACTTTTCCCTCTGAAAAGTTTCGTTTTTGTAATTCTCTTTGCCCCACATGCCAGTAACTTCCATTTTCATTATACACCTTAGACTTTTTCATCCATTCATTGCCAAGAGTATTTGAAAACCTCAGTAATGAAAGGTTATTTTGATCTTGCTTAAATGAATTTAAACCTGTATAGACACATTCTTTTTCCTACTTTAGACAGGCAGGCAGGCAGACTAAGTACCCTTTACATGTGATACCATGTCCAAACTTTACAAAATTAGACGCCCAAATCCTTATTTAGGCATCTGCTATTTTTCAGAGGTGCTGAGCATCTTCAGCTACTATTGACATCACTGTTGTATTCACAGTTTTTTATTTCAGTGGAAGTTATGGCATGTTCAGCATTTCTGAAAACCAAGGACTTTTATTTAATGGATTTGGGTGCTTAGCCTGAGGTTTTAAAATGCTGGACAACAGTATGATAGGTATTTAGCCATATAAGCAAAAAGTTCTAATGAAAATATAGTGAAAAAGTAACTTTTCAATAAAACTACAGCCATTTAGACTGATGTAAATTTATGAAAATTGCTCTATTCAGTATAATATAACTGAGATACAATAGAGTGAAAATCAGCATTTAAAAATTAAATACCCATTCAAAAGTGGCAGAAACATTATTATGCAAAATACTTACTTCTCCTATGAGTAGCAAGAGCATGGTGTGCCACATTTGTATTTCTCCCCTGCAACAAAAACTACCCATAGAGGGCAGATGGGATAAAACACCCTTAGAACAGTGCAGCTCCTTGGTGTGTGTATTCTGTGTTGACACCAAGTGAGGATTTCAAAGGTTCACAGTGAAATTTTAAAATTGCACTATTTTAACCCTGTCTGAACAATGGACAAAAATCACTCTCTATTATTTTCCAGTGTATCTGACAGATTAACCTGCCATAAAAAATGGGCACAATTCTGATTGCCTCTGGTGTCAAGATTACAATCAAGTTTACAGTAACTTTTCATGGGAGCTCTGGCTACTCAGTGGTGCAGACCTCTTAAATGCACCCCCAGCTTCTCAAGCACAGCCATTCTATAGGAGTAAAATCTGCACTGGCACCTGAAAATCCACATTTCTGCCTGCCAGGGCCCAGATTCTACCGGGTGTGCTGCAGATGGATTGCATTGCTGCTAGAGCCCTCCGGAGGAATTGTACCGCACATGTGACCCATCAGCTCTGCCATCCTTAGAAAGGGTGGAGCTCTGCAGCCCATTTGGCTGGGGCGGTGATCATGATCAGTGCTCCCTTTTAGACAGCTAACACCTACAGGAGCTCCACAATGAGATTCTCACCAGCCCCTTGGAAGTTCTTGTAGGCCCCATACTTTTTGTGCACCTGTGCCAGGGCCAGCTAAATTTTGCGCCCAATACCTGTAACTGCATGTGCAAATCAGCATTGGAAAGGTTAGGTCCCTACTTGCCTCGGAATAGTGCAGCTTTTAACAATGCAGAACTGCACATTCTGATTTAACTGATACAGTTAAGGAAGCCCACTCAAGGACCCTTTAAGTCTTTTCATTTAGTCACAGCTGCATAGTACTTGCTACTACTTCAGCACAGCACAACTGTGACTGAGCAATGAGATACCCCAAGATTTGTGCCTATTTATTAAAACCTGAGATTTCAGGAATACAAAACTTGACTTCCCATCTGTATTTCAATGACCCATGTTATTCTCACTGAGCTGGTAGTTAGATTACAAAATGAATTCAGATTAATTCATCTTTCCCAATGCAGCTAGGAATTTCTCTACTTTCCACAATGCACACTGCACGCATTTATACATTATCAGGCTTCTGCATCGACTAGAGCATAGAAGCAGTTCATTCCAAGAGGGGCTGTTGTCTCCCCAGTAAGATATAGGAGTGGTGAGCAAAGTTTCATTAAGCTGGCTCAGCTTGACTTTGGTTGAATAGATCCCAACAGGTCACAAATGGGGGCTGTTCTTTCATCCCAAAAGCACTTTGTCTATGAGTTCTGCCAACGGCATTCAGCACTCTGGGGAGGTGGTGAGACACTATGGCCTTCTGCACCAGCAATATGCTAATGAGACACAGCTCAACGTCTCATTTCCAGACAGTGTCATGATTTAGATATCCTAGCACCTGTGCAAGATAAGTGCCTGGATGAATTGTTGCTAGCTCAGGCTCAGTCTGGACAGATCTGATGTATTGCTGGTAGCAGGAAAGAAGAAATTCAAGACCATAAGAAGAGGTCTGAATTCTCTTACCAATTGTCAAGGTCATATGCAGCCTCAGTGTCCTGTTGTATTTGTTGCTAGTCCTTCACACCCAAAAAAGCAGCAAACACCTGAAATCTTGTCTCCATCTTTGGCTGGTTAGGATACTGTGCCCTTTTCTATCTGATCTGAACCCAGCAATGACAAACCCATGCCTTGATCACCTTCAGGCTATACTACTGCAGTGCATTCTGCCTGGGACTGACCATAAAGGCTACACAGAAGGTCATGCCATTTCCGCAGGCAGCAGCCAACCTGCTCTACAGACATCATTCTGTTGCTTCATGCCCTTAACAGATTTCCCAGAATAAAATAAAGAATAATAAAAACTGCTTCAGGGTCTTGGTGCTACTCTTTGAAGCCCCACTGGACGGGGCTTACTCTTCGCCTGCTACTCACTTTCAGAGACTGATCAGTTGGGAAACTGAATTTGATGGTGTTCAAGGTATAACTGTTGGGAGCTGAATGCCAAAATTCAGTGTCAGGTCAACTGTTGAACCCCTTGTGTATGAAGATCAGGATGAGCTTGGGCCCTGCCACTTTAGGGGTGCAATCCAAGCTATCTTACAATAAAAATGACCCACAATATGCTAGGCACTGTCAGGATCTTCCCTAGGAAACAAGTGAGACCGGCAACCTCACATACCACGGAAAGTGGTGATGTCAAAGGGGGGAGGGAAAATGTAATTCTTTCAAAAGCTTTTTAAGTTGCATATGTGTGTGGCGTCATGGTAACATGGTGATGGCCTCATTACAAACACATCAGATAGATGCTTTGCCCATCCAGCTGGCTCAACAAGTCATTACACTTGCAAGAATTATTTGCCAGCAACCTCTCCATAAACATTTGCCAGTGGGCTGTTGCAGTTCAGCAAGTCATTTCCCACTGCTGTCCCAAACATGCTGTGTGTCCATTTGTTGTACACTAACTTCATCTTAAACTACATTATGTCCATTCAATTTCATTCCTTTAAAAAAGGGGCAGAATTATGGTGTCTAGATTTCAGAATGTAATAAAAAATATATACCTCTTAAAGAAAGTGAGGACCAGATTGTCTCTGGCCCTAACATGTGTGAACAGGGTGCGAAGAACTTTATGGGGCCCATGAAAGGGGCAGGTACAAGCAGGAAGCCACAGGCAGTGCTCCCCCCCATGAACCCATAGAAGCGATGGGACCATGCTTCTGCACTAGAATGCACTGTTGAGTGGTCTGGGAGTGGTGAGTGGAGCAGTCTACATCATCCCAAAGGCACAGCCTCACTCAGAATCTCAGAAGGTAAAAATTGCAGGCTGGTATTTTGTGCTAAAATACTGGATTTGTCCAGCACTTCAGTATCTAATGATGACTATTATGATTGTTTATTTGTACTGCAGTAGTGCCTACAGGCGCCAGCCAGATTGGGAGCCCCATTGTGCTAGGCTCTGTACAAGCACATAGTACAGAAAAAGAGCCCCAAAGAGCTGATGATCAAAATAGACAAGACAGATGAAGAGTAGGAGGAGAAACAGAGGCAGAGCAATCTTGTCCAAGGTCACAAACAGATCTGTGGCAGAGCTGGAAGTATTTGAATGGGAAATGTACAGTTCTCCTTTGAAGCTTTGAAGTCTTCGTGTCTTGAAGATGTTCTTAGACCAGTTTAGAAAGGTGTTGAGCATCCTTGAGGTCTGTGGGAGTTGAGACCTTATAGGAGGTAGTCAGCATCTGGTAGGATCAGACATTTCCCTTTGCCGAGTTAATGGTCATACTGGGGCAAAGGGACCTGGCCAGAGTGCCTCTGTGCTCCATCAGTCCTGGCTGGTGCAATGGCCCATTGGGCCCATTTCAGGCAACATAAATTAGAGATGCAGCCTGCTCCCTCAGGTAGACCTGACCTGCCCCATAAGCTAGTGCAGAAAGGAAGTAATGTAGGGCCATGCTTCACCATAGCCCAACTCCTTTGAGGTGATATGCTGCCCTAGGAATGCACAGAGGAGGAGGTCCTTTTACTCCCTTGAGCTTAGGGGCTATGACAGTGACTCTTCTTTGCATGAGGAAAGAGAAGCTCCTTCAGCTCTCCCCACACTGGCTAGCCATTCAACATCAGTCACGGCCTGTCCCTGAATGAATGATAGTTTACTGGAAACCAATAACCAGTGTTTGAGAGTTCACTTCTACCATTACATGCAGTTGATCACACTGTCCTTATAAACCAATAGCAGGCAATATGACAACAACGTGTTTCCATGCATTGATAATGTGACCTCAGCTACTTAATATTTTAAAATCCCTAAACTGGAAGATATTTGACTCTTACAAATTTTTTAATCTGACTCTTAATGGTCTTTGCCAGATTTGTGGCATATGGCAGACAGGATTATTATATGGCTTCCAATTAATTCTTGCTTTTCATTTGAAGTTTTGTTAGAGACAACTCTTTTAAATAATATCTCTTGCATTAAAGAGTAGAAGAAATCTATCAGTTATCTTTTTTTGCTGAAAAGATTAACACAGGTATCATCTCAAAGTGCTCGATTGCATCAGCACAGCAATCTGACACTTACATGTAAACGCTGTGCTTTAGCTAGCAAAAATGTATAGTGCCAGTGACTAAGAGGATATGCTACCCCAGCTCAGAGCAGGATTAATTTCAAAAATACGTTTTTCTAAGTCAGTGGTTACATAAAGCAGATGATTTTAAGTCAGAACAATCCAAATTAGCTTTTTATTGGGGTTGGATAGAATTAATGGAGTTTTCATCTATTTTCACCCAAAACTAGTTTTCCATTGACTTCAGTAGGAGTGAGATCAGAAAGCAACTTATGATGCTGCAAACCTTTCCCGCATCAGAGTCCCATTAAAATCAATCACCTGAGTAAGAGTTTACAGGATGTAAGCTCTTCAGGCATGGTTTTGTTGTTCATTTGTCTGGAAACTGCCTTGCATGCCTATGATGTGATTTCGATAATAATAATAAGGTTAAATAGGTTACTAGTACTATTCTTCTTCTTCATTTGTTTCCAGCAACACCCACAATGTGCTGGGCACTTTCTAATCTTAAAAAAAAAAAAAAAAAAAACGCTTCTCTGGAACATTTTACAATGAAAAGGAGACAAAATGGGCAAAGAATGTGAGAAAATGTTGGGTTAATTTTTACTAAATTATATGTGAAAGAACAAGGGAAATTTCTTTCACAGTTTTCTGTGTAGAAGAGGCTGATTAAAATTATCATGAATCTAGTTGCTGTCCGTGCCCCTAAGAAATGTGCGTGGTATAAGTCAGCTTTTGTAAGCCATAGTGGCAGGTACCATATTTTCTTTTAACAACAAAGTTTTATTTCCTATTCCCAGATTCATAGATTTTAAGGCTGGTGGGGACCATTAGGATATTCTTAATCTGACTTCTTGTGTAGCACACAACTACCGGACGCATCAGAACTCAAACCAGTTTCCATAAGGGGATCACAAAATTTTCTTTTTATTCTATCTCAGAGGCATTCTATAATTAATGATGCTGCACAGCGATATCTACATTATAGTGTAGCATATGGAAATAGTGCCTCCCTTCATTAGAGGTACTGCGGGCCCACTTTGCTGGAGAAATTGGGAAGATAAGTCATGGCCAGATCCTTCTTTCTCTTCAGCTCTGCTGAAATAAAGATCATTTCCTTTATCTCTTTCACACGTTCTTGATGAACATTAGCATTTTTAGTTAATTTATTTTTACAAAGCTGTAACTGTCTCACATCATGTTGTAATTATTGACCCTGCAGAAATTAATAATTAATCTTTTTTTCTCTAATTTTTCTCCTGAGGCCAAGGTTGAAATATGATCAAGTTTAAAAATACTGCTTTTTGGCTGGAGCTTTCCAAGGTGCCACCAGTGGGAATTAGACTCCCCAACTCCCTATAACTTTCAGTGGGAGTTCAGTGCCTTACGCCCACAGGCATTTTTGAAAGTCCCAGACTGTATTTGTACTCTTCTGCCTGCCAATAGGTCTTACTGAAGGGACTTTTCCTCTGATGCTTACTAAGGAATATTACAACTTCAGGCATCTGTCCCACAATATGTTAGGGCTACAGGGTTTTATTTGTTTGTCTTTTTGCTGTCCTTTTTACCCTTATCATTCTGACTTGCTGCCCGCATTGTAGCTGCTGACCTTTACTGACAATCTCCTCTGACATCCAAGCTAAATGAGTTATTTTCCATTGATAAGCAAGGGGGCATTGTTTGCAATATTTGCATTGTTTGCATTGTTTGCAATATTTGCATCACCAAAAGTCCAGCAACAGAGTATGAAACCCATCCGTCTTATGCCCCCTGCTCCCCTGCAAGGGTGAGCACCACAGGTCAGGATTTAGCCCTATTTCTATTTTACATTTTACATTCAGATACTAAATAAAAAGCTGGTTTTCCCACTGACGTATAAGATCATTGTCAGTGGTAAAGTCCAGTTATTGTTAATGGGAGTGGTGCATATGACCTGTTACATTCAGCCAGGAAAGATTTTATGCTAAACTGTCCGTATACGCCAGTTATGTATGTTTTATTTGCATATGGTGTATTTTATATATTAATTTTCTGAGGTCAACATTTCTTACGGAAACTGGCAGGTTCTTGTTTTATTCTTCAACAGACCTTTTATTAATACACTGCCAGCTACGTCCAATGTTGTAAGTACATGGCTTTGCAAAGACTGTGCAGCAGTCTTTTTGTAAAAGTCAACAGTCTGTGCAATTTTATCTTTTCCGGTGTAAATAAGATGTTACATTGTCTTTGAAGATATCACAATGTATTATTGGTTTTTTCAAGATTACAGCAGAATACTCTATTTAAATGAACTCAGATACAGATCAGTTCATTTGTTGCTCCCACACAGCTGTTGTGCATGGAATCCTAATAAGATAGTTTTACACCCAATGCATTTTATGGTCTTATTGCTTGAAAGATTTGTTGTGTGAAGAGAGAACTGTATTTCATGTAAATCCATGAGCCATTACTAATTTAGTCATCTGTAATTTATATCTAGAATGTACCACTAGATGGCAGTCTCTCCACATAGCCAAATGAAAGCATGCATTATATGCAAATGAGTATCAAACAAATCCTCCGATATCCAAAGTTGTTTACATTGTATTTCACAATAGTTGTCTTGTCCAGCTGATTAACATTTAGATGCATGTTGTGTCTAATGTCGAAATTTGTGTAATGTTAGTTTCCTTCATCATTCACATGCTGTAGCACTCAGAAAAACCAATCAATGACTCCAATATCTAAACAATTGGATACATTAAACCTTATGTCACAGTAAACTTGTATGTGTTATTTTCTGTTTACTCTTAGTTTGCCAGATCTGTTACACTGATTGATCTTTTCTGTTTGTTTTTGAACAGGGCTTTTTTGAAGAAGAGGAAGGTAAAGAGTATATCTATAAAGAACCCAAGTTAACAGGGCTGTCTGAGATCTCGCAGAGACTGCTCAAACTTTATGCAGATAAGTTTGGAGCAGACAATGTGAAGATGATCCAAGATTCCAACAAGGTAGAGGAGAAATACTGCCTTTAGATGCATGTAAAGTGGGAGCAGTGCATTCAAATTTGACCCATAGAGTTCTTTCAAAAACACATGCTGCACTTTTCTTAAATGGTGAAAACCTGTTCCTTTCATTCAGAATACTATGGGCTGGATTGTGGAGTTCCCACAAGCCCTGAGTAAGAGGCAGCACTTAGTGACAGTGATGCAGGAGCAGAGTCACAGTCTGGTCCTGGTTCCCCCTTGATCCAGGGGTATATTAAGCAGTGCAAGCCTTTTACCTGGCGCTGTTTAGTCTACCTTCTATAATGGTTCTGCTGTACTTGGTGGTACATTAGGGGGAGAGTCTGAGCTCCACCCCCTTCCCATCCCAGCCTTCTCAGATCCTGGGGGGTGGGGTGGGTAGGAATAAAACCCAATGTGGGTGGCTCTCCCCCTCTAAGACTATACTTACACTGTGAGCTAGGGGTGTCACACACACACACACACTCGCTTGTGTACACATACTCGTGCTAGCTCTCATCAAGTTAACGCAAGTATAAATAGCGGTGTAGCTGCAGTAGCATGGCTGGCAGCAGCGGAGTACAATCCCACCTGAAAGTGGTGGCTTGAAAGCCTGAGCTTCAGCCCAAACCACCACATCCACACTGCTATTGTTAGCATTCCAGCTTGAGCCCCACTAACATAAGTCTGTCTACCCGGACTGGGTGGCTCACTCCCAGCTGCAATGTAGACATATCCCAACTATGACTCATGATGTAGGCAGTCCATCGAGGGGAGTAATGGGTCACATTATGCCCCCTGCCTCCCTGAATGGGTGTGTGCCATGGGTCAAGATTTAGCCCTATTTATATTCAACACCCATATACTAAATAAAAAGCTGGTTTTCCCACTGAAGTGTAAGATCACATCACCACACTTTACTCTACACCACACTGGAATTCTCTCTGTAAGGCTGTTCCTGGGAGCCAAAGATTTAACACTGTTGTGATACCATAAACGTTTCCAAGAAGGTGTTTCTAATGGATATGAGCAGAGTACGGAACTAGTATGCACTAGTTTTATAACAAAAATGAGCCATGCCTTCTAGTAGGGCCTAGGGCTGTACTGGCCTGGTGATGTAGCCACAGGACATATTGTAAGAGTACATACATCACAAATGCGTATTACCATTGCAAGGCAGAAATTGGCTATTTCCTTTCTAATTCATTCAACCCACATCCAATGTTGCCATTGAGCTGTACTCAAAACTCCCATTGACTTCAACTGAAAAACATGCCCCATAGGCAGTTATCTAAATATTAATGTATGTGCCCAACATTACTTTTGAAAATCATGAGCTGTGTCTACACAAATATCAATAAAACCACAGTGGGTAAAAACAGCAAGCCTGTAAACAACACTCAGTATCAGATAAATTGTTTCATCATGTGTAAAAATGTTAACACAGGTCAACCCCAAAGACTTGGATCCAAAATACGCCTATATCCAGGTCACATATGTCACGCCTTTCTTTGACGAGAAGGAGGCTGAAGACAGGAAGACTGACTTTGAAATGCATCACAACATCAACCATTTTGTATTTGAAACGCCTTTCACGCTGTCAGGAAAAAAACACGGAGGGGTAGAAGAGCAATGCAAGAGACGCACAATCCTGACAAGTATGTTGCTGCCTTTTTTTCTGTTAAGAGTTCTGACTAAAAGAAATTGAATATGATTTCAAAGGGCAATGCTGCTCAAAAATCAATGGGCATAACATGGTCCACAATCTGTTGTTTGCCAACAGTTTTGTTTTAAGTGAGCAATAACCATTTATTTCACTGTGTCCATATTTCTGTGCATAGTCTTTAATGTGCCCAAATTGCACACACGATACGATTTTGCAGACAGTTACATAACAGAAGAAAAATGATCTGTTTGTAGAATAATCAGCTGACATTATTCTTCCTTGTTACTCTCCTCTCACTCACCCCACTTTCTCAGTAGAGTTACTCCTGATTTAGCTTGCATAGTCTAGAGATAAAGCAGAGTGGAGCTTGTAAGATTTACCTGTTTGGAAAAATAAACCACTTCAGATATGAGTATTTGATAAAAATTAGAACATGATACCAGGTTTACAGAAGTAATACTATATAATATAGAATAAATATATAAAAAACAAACCCTACATATCTTATGTCTTGTCAGTGGGAGATATGCCCAGAAATCCCTGTGTTCTAAGACAGGAAGGCAAGAAGTATTGCAGGCACCAATTTCCAATGAATCAAATTAAACTGTGGTGCTGAACAGAAAATGTTTAGCTTTTATTCATGATTGAAATCTCATCTTAAAGAAAAGTGATAAACATCCATGAAATTACTGCTAAAACTTGACATATCTGAAATTTTGGATGAGTGTACAAGAAACTGTCTGAATATGCACTTGATGAGCTTTGTTCTCACGAGTAGAAATGAATACAGAGGCTGACATTTAAGGAAAGGCTTCAAAATGACAGAGAATTTTAGACCCCATCTGACTTCAGGATATATATTCTCCCCAAAGGGCCAAATGGGAAAAGCTGCCTGCAGCACAGACTTAATCACCTAAGGTTTTGTGCAGTCAAGGGAGAAAAATACCTGATATTTGGAGGCATCTCTTTTATGATACAGCTACAAGGGTGAGGGGATGAAGCACAGAAAATACTGGGTGTTCTTTAATGTCTGAGCAGTACTAAGTTCTTTGATGTTGACTTTGGGGTGGAGAGGGAATAGTATTGTTGAACTGAAAGTGCATGTATTACGGTGTTAGTGTATTAGCCTACTGGTGTGTAAACTTTTAATCAGCAGATAGGATTGTTTCATCAGCTCCCCAATTTCCTTAGCCCTGCTGCCTGGCCAGATCTGCTCCAAAGCACGCATTCAGCCTCCATCCCTTGCTTTTTATTGTACCAGGCTGGAACTTTGTCTCTCTCCACCTTCACTACCACTTGTCCATTGCTCTCTCCACATCCACCCTCCCATCCACTGTCTCATCCCATTGCCTCAATGTGTTAGATTTTGCATGGATAAAATGGATACATTTTAGAAGTTTTTACATTTATAGAAATTATACACATAAAAATGAAGCATTTATCGTTTACAAGAAGAGAACTGGATGTAACACTGAAAAGAGGAGCAGTTGTGGGGGTTGGGGCAGCAACTGATGTGCATTGGGGAAAGGGCACTGGACAATCAGGGCAAGTGTAACCCACTGGTCAGTGTGTATTACAGGTGCCCATTCTACAAAGGATATGAGTCTTTTGCAACCCCACCTACAGAGCCGTGGCTCTTTAGCTCCAGCAGTAGAAGCTCATGCTTTTAGCTCCGGAGGTCCCTCGTTCAACCTCCAGTGGGTGGGCCAAGATGGCAGCCATCACATACATTGGGGCTTGTCCAGGGTTCAAACTGATCTGTAACTGATGCTCACCATTGGGTTACATAGGGGCTGAGGAGGCTTCCTAAAGTATGCAGAAGAACCAGAAAGAAGCTTTAGGACAGGCAAGTTTTTCTGCCAAACTTCCCAAGGTCCAGGAGACAAACTCGCCGAGTCACTTTGCTGTCTGATCTATAAGGAAGTACATTGGATAGAGCTGGTTAGAAAATTATCTGAACTGTTCCTGGAAAAGGGGCTGGTTTTTAAGAATTTCCCATTTTGAAAAGGTTTGGGGAAAAAATAATTTTGAAATTGTCAAATCATCCTGTTGTGATATTTTGAAAATGAAAAAGTTCTTTTTCATGTTGAAATTTTTTGTTTCAAAATGTAAGTTAATTTATAGTTTATAAAAAAGATTAAAATGAATTTTGAAATTTATTTATTTTTAAATTTCAGTTAACCAAATATTTTTTTCAGATTTTCGATTCATGAAAACGTTTGAGATTTTTGACTTCTCATCCCAATTTGGAACAGGAAAAAAAATTGAAATTCAAAAATTCTCTCAGGATGATTTCCTTCCCACTTCTTGCTTTTGATGAGGCATGTCCTCTCTGTCTGCTTCCCTTTGTGAATATGACAACAGTCGTGTTGGATAATTACTGTTTCATGATTGATTTGTTACAGTTAGTGAATGTAGGAGATCTAGGCCTCAGCTAAGCAAAGTCTTTAAGCTCATGCCTGACTTTCATTATGAGAGTAGTCTTTTTGATTTTAGGGAACTGCTGAAGTGCCTAAAGTTAAACACAGGCTTATGAATCAGGGCCCTAACACAGAATAAGAAATATGTGAATTTTAAAATCTATGAGTTTTGAGAGTCATGTGTTGTCAGATTCTGACAAATATACGAGACAAATAATGCTAGATCAAAATGGAACCAGTAATGACTGCATCAAAATATCAGTTTAGATCTGCTGAGCCAATCCTGTACATGTATTAATTTTCCTGGCCCACAAAGGTGTTTATAAAATGGAAAAAATGAGTGCAGTCTAAACTATGAATCCACTAGCATTGCTTCCATAATTACCAGCTTGTGGGAGTGGAATTTCTTTGATTGTTTTACATTTGTTTTTGAGCAGCCAGTCATTTATTTCCGTACGTGAAGAAGCGTATTCAAGTCATAAGCCAAACAAGTACAGAACTGAACCCTATTGAAGTAGCTATTGATGAGATGTCCAAAAAGGTTTCAGAACTTAAACAGCTTTGCACAATGGAAGAAGTGGACATGATTAGACTGCAACTCAAACTTCAAGGAAGTGTCAGCGTCAAGGTATCAATGGCTCAGTTTTATGTTTACGTACCAACCACCTTTTTTATTTGGGTCTTTGCAACTTGTGGAGCATATTTAATCTATTTTACTCCAGAGTATTCGAGTCTTGTTCCAGTGCCCATTGAAATCAGTGGAAAGACTCCCATTGACTTTAATGGGTGTTGGATCGATGCCTGGCAGTGTTGTTATAATTAAGTCTGTTAGGGTATGTTGACTTTGCAATAAAAGATTCCTGGCTGCAGCTGGACCCGGGTCAGCTGATGTAGGCTTGGAGGGCTCAGGCTGCAGAGCGAAAAATTGCAGTGTAGACGTTCAGACTCAGGCTGGAGCCCTGGCTCTGAAACCCTGAGAGGGTGGAGGGTTTTTTTAGCCCGACAGCCTGATCCCCACAAGCCCGAGTCAATTCACCTGGGCCCTGAGACTTGGTGCCGTGGTATTTTTTTTGCAGTGTAGACATACCCTTAGTGTTCCTCTAATAAGTGTTAAGCTCTTTCTAACCTGAACAGCCTGGCCATATTAAACTAAAGCCTGGCACTCAAATGAGCATTCAGATACTTTTTTAAAGAGAACCTTGTACAGGTCAGTTTAATGATTTCTTATGTAGAAAAACTGGGATTAGAGAGAAGAGCATATTTGGCCCTTGTGATTCAGTGTGATTCGTTTTTTGACTACATTAGCTAAAATCCAGTGCACTGTTTGCATATGAAACCTTCTAAGACATTCATTTATCTGGCACATGGGCCCAAATCCTCAGTTGGTGTAAATCAGCCCAGCTCCTTTCATTTCAATAGAGCTATTCCAGTTTACACCTGCTGGGGATCTGACCTACAATCTAATTTTGGTATTTTTGTTAAATTGAAATACCTACCATATTTGTATTTGGAAAATGGCACCTCGGAAGATTAACAGTTTCTCTTAAGTCATTGATTCAGAACACATGGAAGATAAATACCGATGTGTTTAGCTTTGGTTGGGAAATGCTTTTGGCACTTGCCTGAATGCAGCTTTAGGCTAGGCAGAATGTCTTTAAGATGCAGAATACGGAACAAAAGCTCTATTCATATTCACCCTGTACTATCCATTTGAAGTCATTGTCATTTCACGCACTGTAAGCACAGAAATTGACCCTGAGCCTTAAACAATGAGAATTATAAATTACAGTCAAACTGTACTGTTCTGCCCCCTAACCAGGTGCTTTTCCCCCAACAGGTAAATGCAGGACCAATGGCATACGCCCGAGCTTTTCTTGAAGAAACAAATGCTAAGAAGTATCCTGATAACCAAGTCAAACTTCTGAAGGAAATCTTCAGGTAAACATTCTTGTTTTAAATGTAAATGTTAGACTTTATTTGGCCGGTACAAACAGATGAGAAACATTCAGTGATATGACATGAAATTAGGCAGAATGCTTTATATAGAACTAGATAAAGCGACATCTTGCAATTCGTTCTTGGCGTCTCTTGACGTCTGGGTAAATCACATTGGCCTGAGTGCTCCTAGGGCTTTATAACTGAGTGCCATAATTTACCCCAACTAGTTTATAACTTTAAGTTGGGGGCATAATATTTTTTCACTGGAGTTTTTTTGCATAGATGTTCTTTGGTGTATGTTTATGCTTGTAGGCAGTTTGCAGAAGCATGTGGGCTTGCTCTTGAAGTTAACAAACGCCTTATTAAAGAGGACCAGTTAGAATATCAAGAAGAAATGAAGTCTCATTATAAGGATATGCTCAGCGAGCTCTCTGCAGTCATGAATGAACAGGTCAGATATTCTATTTTAACTTTTGGTGGTGGGCATGGAGGTGGCTATTTGTTTCCTATGATGAATGAATACAATTAACTTCAGGGTTAATACAATTAACCACAAGTAAAATACTAATAATGCAGACTGCAACCAAGAACAATGCAACGATTATTGTACAAACTTATTTGTGCAGTTTGACCAATGCCACTCAATCCTGACCTGTATAATTCCTGCTATATTATGTGTAAAACTCTCTAACATCCACCAAAATAACTAAAACTGCTTTTTATTCACACCTTTTGTTATTTTGGTGCTGCGTCTGTGTGTGGACTCTTTTACTTTAAATTAAGAGTGTCTTGTTTTGATTTAGGGCAAGTAATAATTTATCTACAATAAGAGATTCCACACAGAAACTGGAAGCAAAATAACAAAAGGGTGAATTAAAACCGATTTAGTTACTTTGGTGTATGTTAGTATGTAAACAGCTCTAAATTGCGCCTGGAAAATTCTCACACATGAACAGGTAATTGTACATGAAAAGTGGCTAATTGCACATATAAGTACCATTTGTATGCAGTGTTACTCAGTTTACGTAATTATCAGTGTCATAATTACTGGTATCTAACAAGGATATTTAATGAACACCCCATAGACCCTGTGGCAGCTAATTTATATTATACATCTTCACAAGTAAGGTGAATGATAACTACAGCTTGTTGAATAATATAAGAAGTGACTCATATTTCCATTTACTTTACTTCCGTTAAAGTAAATGGAAATATGCTTATTTGCACCAGCTGGGAATCTGGTCCATTATTTGCTATGATTTGTTATTTCAGGATTCTGATTACCACTAGTTTATTTATGAAAATGTTTGTTGAACTCCAAACATTTCATAAGTTTTATCATATTCTTCAAAAAAGTCATCCAAAAGTGTTGTGTTAAATTTAGAAGTGTTGAATGTGTCGTTTTTTATTCATGGTTCATGAGTCTCCTGTTTAAATAGTTTTAATCATCCAGTCACTCACCAGAAACACTACCATGTGACTTAGGTGAACAAATTAGGCACCACAAATAATGAAAAATGAATAGGTAAAATGAACAAGTTACTAGCAGTCCACAAACTGAAATATGCATAAGATATTCAGTGAATACTTTTCAAATACAAATATGAACCTGAGTATCATTGAGCTGTAAGTTTTTTCAGTGAAGGCAAATATTGATAGACTGCTACTACGTAATTACTTGTACATAACAAGGCTTTTATTTTTCCAAGGGGGTTGGTAACACCAAAGCCTTTGAGAGCAAAAGCCCAGATAGTTGGTTATTTCCTCAAAACCAAGATGTTTTGAAAATCTCTGTTAAAAAACTAACTAAAAATGTGTGTCTTCCTACCACCATCTTGTTACAGTTTGCCTTTCCTACCTGGCATGTTTCAAAAAAAAAAGTCCTTTTGCAGCTTTCAGTATTTTTCTCCCTGCCAGTTGACCAGTGTCTTTGGAAGCCATTGTATCATATTCTCACCATTGTGAAAAGATTATTTATGGGCACAAAACACCAATTCTCTGGAAAGTTCTTCACAATCTAATTGCTATGTTCCATTAATAGATCTCTGAGAAATTTGTCTTTTGCTGTTGCAGAAACATAATTAAGGGCAAAAGAACACCAAATATTTTGCTTTCTGAAAATCCAGCAATAAAACAGGAATTTTTCTTCACGCTTTCCAAGCAATATGATTTTTTTGCACAGCTTGAGTCCTCTTCCCTACTTCTGAGCAGAGAGCACCACCACCATACATTTTACACACTGTAAATTGTAGCTGAAATATTTATTTCACATTGGGAAACCTCGAGACACTATCATAATGGTACCATGTTCTCTACAATAACATTATGGTCTGGTGTGTTGCTCATTGTTGTATTTGAGACTGTTTTGATAGCACACCCACTGACAGTGACTCTCTCATTACATATGCTCTTCTCTTTTTTTTTTTTTTTTTTTTTTTTTTTTTCTGGCAGCTCTATCATGGTCCATGCTTATACAGCTTCTCTTCTTCCCTGTCTAACATTTCCCTCAATACTGTAGACAAAAGTGGTATGTTTATTTTTCTTATGTCTATACTTTCCTTTGATGTCACATGCTTTCACTTGCTGATTTTCTGTTTTACCTACATTTTACGTCCATTTAAGTGTCATGTCTAACTATTCGTGTTCAATCCAGCGAGGGGTTTGGGGGGCGGAAAGACACGATACATGTGCAGTCTGAGTTCATGAACAACCTTGGCACTAATGATTCTTGCAGTTAGGATCATGGAGCTTAGCAGAAGGTGATATCCTCAGTCTTTGGTGGGGAAGTGCATTGTCCATGATATGGCATGGTAACCTGCTAATACCAAATGGTTGGAGAAGGATCACATTCTGCCTTCCTTGCCATAAGGCAAGTTTTGCAATGATGGCAGTGATGGCTGGAGGAGAGGGTCAGGAACATACATCTTAGGAACTGCACAGAAAAAAAAACAGGTTTAAGCGCAGCATTGTGTCTTCTGTTGCACAGGCAATGGGAGCTCATGCACAGACAGTAAGTTTGAGTCCTGGGGAAAGTGATGGCAGCTGTCTCTCCACAGCCCCTGACAGAAGAGTAAGCACTGTGTTTGTGTATGAAGGTGATTTGGAATTCCAGGATGGAGAGGGGAGCGGGTGGAAGGGGATCTCAGAATCCTTCGGTACTTACTTTCTCTAAAAGCCAGGCGTAATGAGGAATGATGTTTGCCAAATGCCCGAGAAGTACCATTGCAAAAGGAAAGGGGAAGGAGAAAACTTTTGAGTTGCCCAGGGGACCAAATATTACAATAAACACCTGTTTTTCCCTCTGTGTACTTGTTCTGCCTGTGTTGTTTAATCTTTATATACATATTTATTTTATTTCTAATTGTTAAAGATAATAGCCCTGTTCTGCCTTGAGACATATGTTCACAGCTCTTATTGGCTCCAGGGAGTATGTGAGATAGAATTGGGACCAGTGATTATACAGACATGTATGCAGAGATACTGTCAACTGGTTTTAGGCAAAACATTCAGATTTAAGAAACCTATTCTGTTTAAATACTCCATTGCATTTTTGTGACGCCAAACTCAACATCTTTGTGCTACTTCATGAGAACCAGGAATGTAAGGTAAAACTGACCTATTTTCATTATTGACGCTAAGTGAAATAGAAAAAGTAAACACAATCAACATAAATGATAAATAGCAAAATAGGCTTCTAGGGCCAAATTTTCAGGTGCAATAGGAAAGTCATGCAAAATGCACAATCACTAGTATGTACAAAATCTTTCTTTGCATGTATGAATTGTGGGTGCTGAAGTCTGGGTTTAGATGCACAGTAACCCACGTTGCAGACACAAACACCGATTTGCATGCACAGATGCAGGATTTCATTTGTGTAATGGGTGCAAACTCAGGGCCGGATTCTGCCACCCTTATTCCCATTAAGTAGTATCCTACTCCCTGACTAACTGAGGTCCCTGGGTCTACTTGCAGAATAAAGTATTAGTCAGTGTAAGAGTTTCAGAATCTGGCCCCCTTTTTGCAGTGCTTTCCTATTGTATGTGCAGGTTTTGTCCTTTACAGTCCTTTCAGATTTAATAATCTTGAGTGTAACAGAAGTAAGGGCTTTTCTTTTTTATTATTTATTTATTTATTTGTTTATTTATTGTTTTTTGTAAATGTGAATGTTATGTCAAGATTGTCTCTTTTAATTTTTCTAAGCCTAAGTAATCATCATATGCTGGAGAATGCATATTTCATGAGCTCCAGGACAAGAGAAAACTCTTTTCAGTCACTCTTGTCCCCAAGATCAGTATTCATTAGGAACTCTGATGGTAGCTGATCCCCAAGTAACAAATAAAGTCACAAGAAGGAGTTTAGGAGAAATTCTAACTTCTTTAGCACAATTACTGCCAATATCTTTATTTTAAATTCAGACTTGATAAAGAAGTGTTGGCAAAGACAAGAAACACTGGTGATTCCAAGTGGCTTGAGCACTGGCCTGGGACTCAGGAGACCTGGGTCCTATTCTCAGCTTGGCCACCAAGTGACCCTGGGGATAATGATATTGACTTCCTTTTCACTTCCTCATGTAGTCTTCCTTGAAAGAAGACAAGCTCTCAATCTATTATTATTATAAATAGCAAAAGTAAATGCTGCTGGGATTAAAGGGAACTTTTTCTAGCAGTTGTATATATCTTTATCACAGCAGACAGTAACATGTGGCGGGGGAAGCATTTTTTGCTGTTGAGTTCCTCTCTGACGCATCTAGGTCTAATTGTCTATGGGCCTTATCCTACATACCCTTACTAACGCAAGGGAGGCTTGCCTATGTGAATAAAATTGTGCAGGTTCTATCCCTATATTTGTACAGTACATTACTGGCCCTGATCCTGCTATCGGGCGGATCCTTGCAACTGCCTGCATCCCCATGCAAATCAGTGGGGTTCTGTATGGGCACAAGGATCTGCCTACAAGGGTCTGATTACAGAATGGGGGTGTGCATATGCAACATTACAAGTAGTCAAATAGAGGTAAGTCTAATGAGTTTATAAAGTGTAGGTGACTACTCAATCTGGGATTACTTGAGAGTATTGTTCAAAAAACATTGCTTAGGGAAGTATGCAATATGTTGATTGACAGAATGTAAGATATGCATGTTGAGGAGTCCAACCAAGGACCCAATTCTGCCGCCTTAATTCGGGAAACCCTCTTAATGAGAGTATGGCCTGAGTAATAACTGGAGGATTGGGTCTCCAAATGAAGTTAATTTTTTGAACTACAAGTTTCCTTTATCAAGCATCCAAAATAAATAATGCATTATTTAATAAACAAAAATATAAAATAAGTGAAAACAGTAAAAATTGTTGAAACAAAATACTCAATGGATTCATTTTGTTTTCATCTGTTGCTTTTAATTTTTTTTTTTTTAATAAAAAGATTATCCACAAGGAGGATTCAGCAAAGCCACAAGGAATGGAACGAACCTATTCACGAACCTTCAGTAGAACAAACACAGCCCCGCCAGGAGCAGTGATATCAAATCCGGACATTTGACTGAAACATCTTTGACTTTATGCATACCTCTGGAGGACATTTTTTTTTAAGTGTAAAGTGATCATGAACAATACAGTGAAAATGGATTGTGCGATATGGTTTTAATTTATTGGAAGTCTTCACAGTGATAATATTTTTTAAAACTGCTAGCTTGATTTTTTTTTTTTTTTTTCAACCCTTTTTTTTTATTTTTCCTTTTTTTTTTTTTTTTTTTTTGTTATTGAGAAGTCTTTTATTAAGCAAAGCTGAATATGAAATTTCCATTGAACATTTAGCTCCACAGCAAGCCCTAAGTTTGCTGTAAATGATAATATATCTAATACTAAGTCCTAGTATACATATATTTTAAAGGTCAAATGTGGGTGTTTTATAACATTTAAGTATGTCATAATTGTAAATAGAGGATGTGTAAAATATGTCATTTTTACAAAATTTAAAAGACTATCTTTTTAGTTAATAATTATAAGTGTACTAAAAATAAGAATAACTTTTCAGATACAGTTATATTAAAATATTTGTGTATGTGTACAAAAAATGTCTATAAAGATTTCTCTTTGAAGACAGTGCATTGGTTTATAGAATTTTAGAATCATAGAAATGTAGGAAGAAAAGGTCATCTAGTCCAGTCTCCTGCACTGAGGCAAGACTAAGTATCTACACCATCCCTGACAGGTGTTTGTCCAACCTGTTCTCAAAAGCCTCCAATGGTGGAGATTCTACAACCTACCTTGGTAATTTGCTCCAGTGCTTAATCACCTTACAGTTAGGAAGTTTTTCCTAATGTCTAACCTAAATCTCCATTACTGCAATTTAAGCCCATTACTACTTGTCCTATCCTCAGCGGATAAGAACAACAATTTATCACCCTCCTCTTTATAGCAACCTTTTACTTACTTGACGACTGTTATCATGTACTCCCTCAGCCTTCTCTTCTTCAGACTAAATAAACCCAATTTTTTCAATCTTTCCTCAAAGTTTTCTAGACCTTTAATCATTTTAGTTGATCTCTTCTGGACTTTCTCCAGTTTGTCCACGTCTTTCCTGGAATGTGGTGCCCAGAATTGGACATGGTACTCCAGTTGAGGTCTTACCAGTGCTGAATAGAGTGGAAGAAATACTTCTCATGTCTTGCTTATAACACTCCTGCTAATACATCTGAGAATTATGGTTGCTTTTTTTGCAACAGTACAGACGCTCCCCGACACGCAAGTGTTCCATTCCGGAATGCCTTGTGTAACTCAAATTTTGCATAAGTTGGAAACATATCTCCGACCATTACACAAAAAAACCCCTCCTATTTCTAGCTTACGGAACTTTTTCAGTAAGTGCGGATTTGCGTAAATCGGGTCTTGGGTAACCCGGGGAGCGTCTGTATTACATTATTGACTCATATTTAGTCTATGATCCACTATAACCCCCAGGCTCTTTTCTGCAGTACTCCTTCCTAGGAAGCCATTTCCCATTTTGTATGTGTGCAATTGATTATTTGTTCCTAATTGTACTTCGCAATTGTCCTGATTAAATTTCATCCTATTTAATTCAGACCATTTCTCCAGTTTGTCAAGGTAATTTTGAATTATAATTCTTTCCTCCACAGCACTTGCAACCCTTCCCAGCTTGGTATTGTCTGCAAACTTTGTTAGTGTACTCTCTGTGCCGTTATCCAAATCATTTGTGAAGATATTGAATAGAAGGGGACCCAGGACAAATCCCTGCGGGACCCCACTCAATATACCCTGTGAACTACAGAAAACTGCTCTGAGTATGGTTTTCCAACCAGATGTGCACCTATCTTATAATAGGTTCATCTATAGGCTATATTTCCCTAGTTTGCTTATGAGCAGGCCATGTGAGATAGTATCAAAAGCCTTACTAAAGTCAAGATATATCACATCTACCACTTCCCCCACATCCACAAGGCTTCTTACTTTGTCAAAGAAGGATATTAGGTTGGTATGATTTTATTTATTTTTGACCAATCCATGTTGACTTTTACTTATCACCTGATTATCATCTAGGTGCTTACAAATTGATTGTTTGACTATTTATGCCATTATCTTTCTGGGTATTTAGGTTAAGCTGAGTGATTTATAATTCCCTGGGTTATCCTTATTCCCCTTTTTACAGATACGTATAATATTTGCCCTTTTCCAGTCCTCTGGGATCTCTCCCATTCTCCATGAGTTCTCAAAGATAATTGCTAATGGCTCAGAGATGTCTTCAGCCAATTCCTTAAGTATTCTAGGATGTATTTCATCAGATCTTGCCGACTTGAAGACATCTAACTTGTCTAAGTCATTCTTAACATGTTCAGATCCTACCTTACTTACACTGATGTTCACGAGGTTAGTTGTCAGACCACTGCAAACCTTTTTGGTGAAAACTGAAACAAAAAAGGCATTTAACACTTTGGCCATTGCTAAATTTTCTGTTGTTGTCTTTCCTTCCTCATTGAATAATGAGCATACCCTGTCCTTGGTCTTCCTCTTGCTTCTAATGTATTTGTAAAACATTTTCTTGTTACCGTTTTATGTCCCTAGCTAGTTTAATCTTGTTTTGTGCCTTGACCTTTCTATTTCTGTCCGTATGTGCTTGTGTTGTGGTTTTTTTTAATATTCATCCTTTGTAATTTGACTTAGTTTCCACTTTGTTGTATGGCTCTTTTTTGAGTTTCATGTCCTTGAAGATCTTCTGATTAAGTCAGGGTGGTGTCGTCTTATACTTCCTATCATTCCAAAGCATTGGGACAGTTTGTTCTTATGTCCTTAATAATATTTCTTTTAAAAAGTGCCAACTCTCCTGAATTCTTTTTTTCCCTTAGACTTGCTTCCCACAGGATTCTATCAATTCTCTGAGTTTGCTAAAGTCTGCCTTCTTGAAGCACATTGTCTTTATTCTGCTGTTTTCCCTCCTACCATTCCATCATTTCTCTATCATTTCATGATCACTTTCGCCTAAGTTGCCTTCAAATTCTCAACCAGTTCCTCCCTATTTGTCTTGTCAAATCTAAAACAGCCTCTCCCCTACTCATTTTCTCCATCATCTATAATAAAAAGTTGTCTCCAAATGCATTCCAAGAACTTTGTATAATCTGTGCTCTGCTGTATTATTTTCCCAATAGATGTCTGGGTAGTTGAAGTCCCCCCTCACCACCAAGTCCTGTGCTTTGGGTGATTATTTTATTTGTTTAAAAAAAGCCTCATCCACCTCTTCTTCCTGGTTACGTGGACTATAGTAGACTCCTACTGTGACATCACCCTTGTTTTTTATCCCTTTTATCCTTACCCAGAGACTTTCAACAGGTCTGTCTCCCTCTTCTATCTCTACTTCAGTGCAACTGTATACATCTTTGATATACAAGGCAACACCTCCTCCCTTGTTTCCCTGCCTGTCCTTCCTGAACAAGAATATAACAATATACCAATATTCCAGTCATGTGAATTATCCTACCAAGTCTCTGCAACACTAGTTATGTCATTATTGTGATTATTCACTAGTATTTCTAGTTCTTCCTGTTTATTCTCCATACTGTTTGTATTAGCATGCAGATATCTGAAATGTTCATTAGGTTTCCCCTCTATATTCCTTCTTATTTATCTTTTGTCCCTGCTATGGTTGCCCATGTGCCCCCAGATTCCAACCTTTCACCCAGGACTGTGTGTTCTGGACTTATCTGTGGGCTTTTGTCTCCTACTCTCATTGAACCTAGTTTACTGCAATTTCTGTGCTCTCCAAAACAATGGAAATGAAAATGTCACATACGCTCATGATACGTTCCATACTTATTGTCAAAATAGACATTTGCTACAGGTAATTGGACATTTCAAGAGATCTCCAGAGATTCCAAATTTGGAGCTGGACTATGGCCTTTAGCTGTTGGTCTGTATTGGGAACAGTGTGGAATTGGACTATATTATTTTTTAAATTCCCTATTGAATAACTCCTGTACCATTCATCCCTTTGCACATAGATGTTGGGCCGGCGGCCTATTAATTTTTTATTCTTTTATATATTAATTTGGTTGTTTTCACCTTTCTATATAGACTCCCTGATTCTCTCAAATGATGACCTACCTCTAGAGAATGCCCTTCCCTTACATGGCTACCTGAGTCCTTCAGGGAATAGAGTGCAAGAGGTTTGAAATTGATCAGTTATGGTGTGTATGGGATGTTTCTGAAGATGTCATTGGGATCTTCCTCTCCCCCTCCAACAGTTCTTCTTCTTCAAGTAATGTCTCTGTGGATGCTCCACTCTAGGGGCTTGTCTTCACTACCCGCCTGGATCGGCGGGTAGAAATCGATCTCTCAGGGATCGAATTATCGCGTCTCGTCGGGACGCGACGATCCCCGAATCGACGCACGTACTCCACCAGCCCAGGTAGGAGTAAGCGCCGTCGACGGGGGAGCCGCAGCAGTCGATTTGCTGCCGTCCTCAATTATTATTATTATCAATAATAAGCTAATATATATCTCCATATATTATAAAAGTCTGGATCAAGCCCAGAATGAACATTGTAGCTCAGGGCTCTTTTCCAGAGAGTCCAAATCAAAACTCCACACCTATATCCCCCTAGCTTTGACAAAGATCAAATTCAGCTCCATTTGTAAATATAACCTCTTGCTTGATGCTTAACTGATTTTTATTAGCTCTACATTATAGGATGTTTAGTGAGAAGAGTCAATACAGTACTGTGCTTCCAAACACAGACAAATGATTCAGTAAAAAGCATCAATAATAAGCTAATATAGTAGTAATATACCAGACACAACTCCCTTCCCTCGAAAGTCCTTCCTTTATAACTGCCTGTTCCCTATTGCCTCTCTTGTCTGTCACAGTATAAAAATATTGCACAGGCATGCAGGAGTGAAATCAGGAAGGTCAAATCACACTTGGAGTTGCAGCTATCAAGGGATGTTAAGAGTAAGAAGAAGGGTTTCTATAGGTATGTTAGCAACAAGAACAAGGTCAGGGAAAGTGTCGGCCCCTTATTGAATGGGGGAGGCAACCTAGTGACAGAGGATGTGGAAAAAGCTAATGTACTCAATGCTTTTTTTGCCTCTGTCTTCACGAACAAGGTCAGCTCCCAGACTACTGCACTGGGCAGCACAGTATGGGGAGGAGGTGACCAGCCCTCTGTGGAGAAAGAAGTGGTTCAGGGCT